GGCGACACGGCCACAATGTCGCTTTGTGGTCCAGGTTACTGGGAGCGTGAAAAGCCGAGAGAGTCGCCCAAGGGATGCTGTGCTCTTTGTACTAAAAAATCCGAGTTTTCCGGCTCTCCGGCTTCTGCAAAGATAGAGAGAGGGAGAGAGCGTGGAAAGCCGATGGGGTGGAAATGAGAGCCGGATGCTGTAACTGACCTACTGCATTTTGGCCGCCACACAAGTTGCAGGTTGCTGGTTAAATGTTTGTTTACGTTATGCCTGCGTTTTTGGGCTGCATAATTGATAACAACAGCTTGGGAGGCGGCGGAAAAGTGGGCGGGAAGATGGGGTTGGCGCAGCAGCGATTTTCGGGTTTTTCCTTTGCCCCGTTGCGTTTTTATTTTGTTGGTAATTACGAATGATTTGGACGAACAATCCCTTTAACAAATCTCATTACGTTGTCAATTACGCGCCATTACCAACAACGCGGCCGGAGGAGCGACTCTCGGCTGGCGTACTGAAATCTCATTAACAGGCTTTAATTTTCCAAACAAACTTAAGTGCGCCAAGGATGAAGGAACTCATCCAACGGCATTCCAAACTTAGGGATGTTATAGCAAGTGGAGGCGGAGAAGCTTAAGATGTTTATAATATTATTTTCATTGATGTTAGTATGCTTTCAATATTAAAAAGATAATAAATATATTATGTATCGTAAATAAAATGCATTTCAAAATCATATTGGACATATTTAATTGCAATTAATGCCAAATTACTGTCTTAACTTGAGAATACTGATATTCCTGATATACCATCTAATTATTATATAGTATGTGTAACATTTGTTAAGAAATAAGATATACTTCAAAACCAAGTAAATTTACAAATATTTAAGTTTATTTTATTAAAAAAATGTAAGGCTTTTGCTACCTGATTATTAGGAAAATAATAAATAAAAAAATATATAAAATAATATTCAAATTCAAATACCATTTTATGCCGACTGATTGTGCCATCTCTAGTCCTAGCTGCCGCCCCATATTGTCGACTTATCGTGGCGTACGATTTCATCATAATCTGTAATTAGTTTATAATGCGCACAGGAAATGCTAGTAGAAAGCTCGCTAAGAAGCGGCAAACAGGACAATGCCAGCAACTCCTGACTTAACCTTTCAGTTATAACGCAAACTGCGATTAGGGGCCAAGTCGATAAACATAAAAGTTAATGGTAAAATTTTTTAATTAAGAAAATCAATGAATATTTTTTCTCCTACTTCCGTTCTTTTTTCCTTTTAACTTGACTGCATTATGGGTATTTTGCTGTTGAGCTTTCATTGCCATTTCCTCCACTTCGGATGGCACCATTTTAACATTTATGACTTGCGATTTTCACGACTCTCTGGAATAATGGAAGGCACGCGAAAAAAACGTCTTTCAAGTGATTTCCTTTTTTGTATTTAATAAGCTCAAAAACAAACTTGCTGTCGTCCAATTATTTAATGCAAACGTCTATGGATTTTAATTGCCCTTTTTTTCTATGCCCTGGCTATTTAATTATGAATCACAATTTATGCGGCTGCCTAAGTCAACAGAGTTAAAGCGTTTAATTAAATCGCAAAAACAGGGCCGCTTAAAGCCGCAACAAAATCAAAGCCGCAAGTACAAAGATAAATAAGTGGCATTGTCGGTTTCATTTCCGGCTGCAACATTTGCATTCAAATCGCTGTGGCTGTGTGGGTATTCGTGTCAGGGTGTGCGTGTGCCCGTCGGTGTCGTTGTAAGCGGTATATAAGTAGACTCCCAACTGGTTTTATATTTAGGCGTTTGCCTCCTCTAAAAGCACAGAAAGAAAGCAATAAAAAGCAGCACGCCGCGACTGCGAATCCAAGTCAAACCGATGGTGTGGGTGGCCTTAAGATGAGGTGGGAGGGGGGATGTGACGGGTTTTGTGGGTGGTACTCCCGTTTAACAGCAGCTGTCGCTTCCGTACCGCCCACCCCCATTTGTATTGGCTGCCGCGAGTTGGCCTCGACTGTCTTTCAGTTTCTCACTTCATCAGTTACGCCAAAAAGGAGACTCTACAATAAATTTCGCTGATTGCTTCCGTTTTTTTTTTTCGGCTGCCCCTTCGCATCTACGCTGCCTCATTTTTTATGCCGCTTGATAAAGTAATATCCGTTTTAGGTTCACTCCGTTGTAGGTCCTGCCAACTAGACCTGACGGCACTTTGGCGGACTTTACAATACCCTGAGGGTCCCAAGAAAGTGGTAGAAAGTCAGTGTAGGGTAGCATGGTATGGGTTCACGAGGGTAATAATTCCAAATGGTTAAGAACTTTAAACTACTTAATACTCCAAAACCTTTACCAATCCCTTGCAACTGAACTAAAAAAACAATTATGTAAACTCTAAAAAAAAATTTAATGAACATAACCGTTTCAGCAAGCAGTTTATCTTAAATGATTAAAAGCTGTGCAGTTAATATTAAATTTGCTTTAATCTCCAAGTTAATAAATATTTCATGAAAACAGCTAACCCAATGGCAAACTCTTTGAGAATTAAACACCAAATTCAATTAATTTTCACAATTTATTCAATGCCATTAGTTACGAGAATGTTGCTGCAATTTGATTTAGGTCAAAGATAAACGATTCAAAGTGCTTTTATTGAAATTTATTTAAGACTTTAGCTAACTAATATGAAACTAAATAACTTTATTTTAAACAAACACATTAGTTGGACTCAATGCGGCACATATTTCATGTTCAAGCATAAATGGAGGAAAGTAATTAAATTTAAAGCATTTAATAAATGAAAAGCCATTAATGTTTAAAAAAAACTTCAACGGTATACCAAAAACCGCAATAGTCCCAACTCTGGCTGCATAATTAGAGGGTATTAACTACAAGGTATACAAAAAATGTCAGTTGCTGCAAGTAATGTTCCAACTTTGGGCTATAATTTGGTGGTCCCACCCCGCACCGTCCCCTTCCGCTCCCAAAGTGCACTAGTTTTGCGGGTCTAACACAGATTTGTGGCCTTGGCTGTTTGGGGGAAGAGTTCGGTGGCCCATGGGGCGTATGCGTCATATCAGCACACGCATACGCCGTGTAGGTCAATGCTGTTAGACCAAAACGAGAGCCATTGCCACAGGCGAATGTGTGGGTGTGTGACTTTGGCCAAGTGTGTGTGGATGTGTGTGCCGGTGTAGGTGTAATTGAAACTTCCGCTTTGGTCAGTTAGCGCAATTTAGCAAGCTGCAAAAAAGTTAGGTACGGCTGAAGTAACAGGCAAAGTGCAAAGTCCATTGCAGCTACTTGGCTTTCATTTCATTTAAAACTTTGGCAACCCAAAGCCAACACACACGCACATACACAAATGCACAAAAGAGGCAGGCAGACATGGAGAGTGAAAATTATTTTAAAATGATTTATTTCACAACAATTTTCATTAGGTGGCCGACTGCAATGCAGGTTGCCTCTTTCCCGCCTTTCCCGCATTTTTCTCCCCCAGCTCTGCACTAATTCACTTTTGCTGATTTCTGTGAAAAAATATGCGAAAAATGCCTTGAGAGTTTTGGGTGTATGTGGATGCGGATGTGCATGCCCCACTCATGTTTCATATATGAAATAATTATATGTGCGGTCAGCACAGTCGCTGCCAAAAGGCCGCCGACTGGCTGCGGGCAGTGCAGCATTTTTCCCTGGCAGTTTCTAAAAAAAAATCATAGAAAATTTGTGGTCCTGCTACATGTTCCATGTTCCTGCTGCATAACTTTTGCGGAGATTTCCCTCAGCATCGCGGACACGCCCCCCTAGTTTACCGCCCCCAGGGCCTCTGTCATCGTCTGTGTACAAAATTAGTGGCAAGCAAGATGCGAGCGGAAAAAACGCCAAAGGAAAATGCAACTGGCTAAAGGTTAACAAGCGTCAGACAGGCCAGCAGCAAGTCCTGGGAAATACCCCCCAGCAACAAAAAGAACTTATAATTTTTGGCCACCATACAGAAGCCATAAAAATGGCTGAAAAAAGGGTCTGGGCCAAAGAGGAATGTTAATGAAAAGCAAGCGTGAAATAAAATCATAAATTTTCCAGCGGGGGAGTGAAAAATGCAAGTTTCCACTGCGGACTTGTGTTGTTATTATATGGCATTTGTATGCACATGCGAACGGGATGAAGAGTTGGAGGAATACTTAGAGCTAGAAAGGGGATTGGGATTGGACTCGGGTGAGTGCATTTGCGGTAAGCCCCCAAATGCATACAATGATAATGTTATACTTGGGGAAAGTGCCAGTATGTGTGTGTGGTTTGGCAAGGATTTTCCGCCAGTGAAGTCCTGTCCAGGGTCTAGACTTGGTCAGCTAAGCCGGTGATGAGGAGTTGTCAGGAAAGCGAGGAAGGGCAGGAATGCTGATGAAGTTGATGAGGGTTACAATGAGCAAAAGTGAAAGATGGCCATGAGATGGGATGAGATGTGTGTATTTAGGGAAAGTTGAATTAATAACACAGAATCATAAAGGGAAAGAGCATGATGTGTTCCTTTTATGTTAAGTTCTGAACAAGATTTTTTTTGCCATTCGTCACTAAAAAACTTAAAAACATTGATAAATTTGACAAGCTTTCACTCGGTCTGAAACTTGGCTAACACACAGACATTCTTATTTTCCCTCGAACCTTTTCTGAGCTTTTACACGTCTTTCGTTACTAGGCTAAACTCCCTTCTGCCTTTTCAAATATAAAAACTGCCAACTACAAAAAACTTAACATCTTTAAAAATGGCTAATTGTATGACATTAATTTTTTAACAATCTTCACACATTTTAAAATGTATATTAAATGTTTTAATCTTTTTAATTAATTTAAAATCTTAGAAATCAGCTACAACCTTTTATAATTTTGCAGTTACCTTTGCAAAAAATATTTTTAATTTGTTTTCTTGTTTTTAATTTCTATTAATAGTTTTGTGAGGAGCGCATTACTTACCTTTTCCCCAAATTGACCAAACAATAATAATAAGTCCATTAGGTATTTTAGAAAATTGTGTACATCTTTATTATTTGTTTAACTACTTTTTGTTGAATGTATTTCTTGTTTTGTGGTTGATGCTTCGCTTCATTGATATTTCGCACTGGAATTTCTCTTTTTCAGCCTAGAAAACGTGTGGCAACGTAGGCGAAAACAATTCGAGGCGTTCTTTGTTCTAAACATTAACTAATAAAATGCATAAATCTGTTAACAATTTGTGTTTCCACTGCGCTTTGCTGGTGTGCTTACATAAGTAATTCGCTATGATTAATGCTAATCTGATTGTAATTGTTATTTATGCGATTTAGCTATAGCACTTCGTTATAGGAGTTAAAGCCAAGAACCGAGTAACGGCAACATAGTTCTGATTTCAACGCATTTCTTTCTATATTTGTATATATAGTATATGTGTGTATCGTATGAATGCTCGTGAGTGTATACATAAATTCCATTTGTCGACAATTGCACAACAGTTAAAAGTATAGTAAACAATTAATAATAATGACTTTAGCTATGGCCGGGCCCAAATACGATTTGCACTATAATTTTTGTGTGTTGATTAACTTGATGTACTTTGTGTGAGAGATATCCCTAGCAGTATGTAATAATGTCCTAAGTTTGGTAATTAGTTTTTACTTTCTTCGGTTTTCTTTTGTTATGTTATGTTTGTATTTTGAGTCCAGCTACAAAACGTTGCATAAAGTTGTATAAAAGTTTTGGTATTTCCATTGTTTCCATTTGACTAGCGAGTAAATACAAAAACCCAATCGATCCGCAGGCGACAGTTCAACCTACACACATCGCATATATCTGCGTGTATATAAATAACACTATATAGTATTGTTAGAAACGGCTGCTATAAAATCACTGCCACAGTAGTGGCCATTACTAGTCCCCATAAGACGTAACGTAATCGTTAACTCTATGTATAAGTAATTCATAAGCGCTAATATTCGTTTAATTCAACAAGTCTATGTGGGATCGTCATCTCATCCCCCGACGTTTCCATGGATATTTCTGTGATCCCCATCCCCGTGACCTCCGTGTCCATCGTCTCCGAATCCGTCTCCCTCATCCTCGTCCTCTTCGTCCGCCTCCTCGTCCTCATCCTCCTCCTCTCCCTCGGACTGTTCGGATCAGTCGAATATGCAGACGAAGATGCGCAGACAGTTCATTCCCACCTTCTCCCAGCATCCCTCCTCCGTGGGTCGCCCATCGTGGGCCAACCTCATCTTCTTCGGATAGTTTTTCGGACTGCTCCGGTCACTCAGGTGCACGGGCATCCGGGCGTACTCCGCGCGGGGCTGGCGGAACTTCTCCAGCAGCTCCGCCTGCTGATCGGTGAGGTTCTTTAGCTTTTTGCCTGCAAACACAAATATTTTATAGTAAGTAAAAAGCTCATTGCCTTACAAATAAGTTTTAAACTCATAAATGCAATACAAAAGTTTTTTCAAGAAAACAAACCCTACTTAACAATGTCCAAATTTACTTTAGGCTTAATAAAACCCGTCCGATGTCTGATAACACGATAGCTTTCCGGTTTACGATAAAAATTTAAAATAAAAGCTCATAAATGCGCCTATCAAATCAAGTCGTCATTTCTTCAGTGCCCGATGGGTTGAACAAATAAAATCATTTACAGAATAGAAACTGGCTGTGACAAAATATAAATATATAACGCAAAGTCACGACTTGATAAAAGCAGCGCAATGGTTTAGACTGCCAGTCACTGATTCAGTAAATTTAAATGATTCAAAAATGGAACTTAATTCTGAAAATTAAAATGTTTTAATAAATAGAGCGCTTATCATCAGACATATTATTCAAATACGAAATGAATAAGTTATATATATTATATATTATAATATTATCTTTAACATAAATAATAATATTTGTAATCACTTGGCACATAACAAGAGATACGAAGCTTCAGATATAGATCAAAAGCTTAAGTATTTTGCTGAATCGCGCAGAATCGTCAGTAAGCTTTACATTAATAGTTTTGTAAAATGAAGCTGCACTTGTCACGACTTTTTTATGTGTTTTTTATAGAGATAAAGTTGAAACCATTCATTTTTCTCGCGTTAAACGAATAAGTTAAATCTTGCTGTGTGGTTCAGTGAACTTTAAAAGATAAGAATAACTACTTTTAGTTTATGAGTTGACTCACCCTCGAGGGCGTCGGTGATGAGTGATATCTCAGTGCGAGGCAGTAGCTCTAGGCGATCGCAGCAGCGTCGGAATTCGCTGGGGGTCATCCGGAGATAGCGGGGCGTGAGGCAGAGAGGTCCCAAGACCGTACGCCGGTTCTCCGGCGTGGCATCAATCTGCTTGCGGGCACACTCCGCCAAACTCCACGTGGCCAGGCACTCGAACAGTGTGACCTCCGACCTGAGCTGCAGAGTATCCCTCTTGGCCAGTGTCTCCAGCTCCTCGAATCTCAGACTGCTGATCTCCGGCATCGAAAGCTGCAGCTCCGCATGCATATCGATCAGCTGGAGCGTGTTGTGCAGCAGGGCCACGCCATAGTCCTCGGTGGTGAAGGGATTCGGGTTCGGAATTAGGTTCAGCTGTGCCCCATCGCCATCGGCTCCGTTTTCGGTGGACTGGGAGGCCTTGGCAGCGGCCAACTGCTTGGCCGCCGCCTTCGCCTTGGTCGCCTTCTTCCTGGCCAGCTGCTGGCCCGTCTCCTGGGTGGTGATCACCGTCTGGTGCTGGTTGGTCAGCGCGATGCCCTGGTAGAACCACAGCGCCTTGAAGATGTCCAGCGCGGTGGCACATGAGATTCTGAGATCAAGTTCGCGAATACAGTAGATGATCTGGAATAAGAAAAAAATTTGTTTTCGATAAGCAATGAGACTTCTCTAAAGATTAACTTTAATGAAATGCCAAGAATTTGTACATCCTGAAAACCACAATTTATATATTTTTCTAAAGTGTTTTTTAATAATTTTAATCAAAATAGTAGATTTTTTGGAATTGGCAACAATTTAATGATTCATTTTTGGAAATTCAATCTTTAGTAATTTTAACACATTTTGTTTTGAATGACACTCATACTCGAGATCTTGAAATAGATCAAATTAAAATATTTGTATTGGTAGCTTTTAAAGTATTTTAAAAATGATTTGATAGCCTTCAAAATAAATGAACAATATAATTTGTGGCGTAGAAATTATAGATATAAAGAATAGACATTATCTAAACTCAACTGCGATTTGCCATGGATTTGCCCGCTTAAGTTTTTTACGCAAACGTTTAAAAGAGTGACGAATAGAAAGAATAATAATTTACATTGTCACGCTTGAAACAACTTTATCAAGAAAGAAATTGTTGACGACATTTTAAATATTTCCATACGATTAAAAAAAAAAATTATGAAAGTTATGCACATGTTATTTTGGGATTAGTGTATCTAGCGTGAGGTGTATGTACTTTATTAATTGGTAATTTGTATTAATAATTTAAAGTAACCTAATATTTCCCATAAAAACGGCAAAATTCCTTAGAGCTGTTTGGGTCAGCCATAGAGTATTTAAAAAAAAGAGAAGAATTGGTTTAACAATCTGAATTTTTTTAACTTTTCATTGTATACACACATGCATAACATATGTATGTTCAACGTATTCTCTTCTTCTCGACCGCTAGAATTTCGCTTCCTTCGTGGCAAAAAAATGTGCAGAGGCGCCGCAAAGTCAATACATTTTTATACCCTTGCAGAGGGTATTATAATTTTGGTCAAAAGTGTGCAACGCAGTGAAGGAGACATCTCCGACCCTATAAAGTATATATATTCTTGATCAGGATCACCTCCTGAGTTGATATAGCCATGTCCGTCTGTCCGTCTGTCCGTCTGTCCGTCTGTCCGTCTGTCTGTCCGTCTGTCTGTCCGTCTGTCTGTTTCTACGCGAACTAGTCTCTCAGTTTTAAAGATATCGAATTGAAACTTTGCACACACCCTTCTTTCCTTTGCACGCAGTATATAAGTCGGAACGGCCGGGATCGGCCGACTATATCATATAGCTGCCATATAACTGATTGATCGGAAATGCCATAACTCTGCTGTTTGTTAAGTTAGGAAGTTGGGACTTTCTATGGGTTTTATATTTGGCCAATCAATCCGACCTACCGAATTTCATAAGGATCGGCCGACTATATCCTATAGCTGCCATATAACTGAACGATTGGAAATGCCATAACTTTGGTGTTTTTAAAGTTAGGAAGTTGGGATTTCTTATGAGTATTAAGAATGCATCATATGAATAATTTTGGAGAATATAATTTACAGAATATTCTGCAAGGGTATTTCAACTTCGGCTCCGCCCGAAGTTAGCTTTCCTTTCTTGTTTTGTCTCCTTTTTACATTAAGTTTTACGTGAAGATTGCTCATCTATTAATTTTTTTGATCAAAGGCAACTGTGCGTATGAGTAATAAACTTAATACAATCCTGGTATGACCTTTAAATTTGTATATATATTTGTATTCAGCGTCGAGCATTTCTTTAATTGTTATTTTTGTTATCAATTGATAATAGAATCTCTTCAGTATGACATTGAAACAGAATGTTTTTAAATTCTAACAATCAAATAAAATGACACTTTTTAAAAAGCTTATTGTAAAATCAAAAGAACGTTTGCAATTCCGATAAAAATTTTACCCTTTATATCTTAATTGAAGAAAATATTCCCGGGTATAATGGGTATAAGTTATATAATTCTCACTCACCAGGTCTGGAACGTTAAAGCGATCGGATAGCTCGAGTATCTTGAGCAGGTGCTTGTGATCGCGATAGGGGATGAAGTGCTTCTCCATGTAGCGGACGATCAGCTCGAAGTCGTTCTTGTCCACGTTGAGTATCTGGAAGTGGTTGTCGCTCTTCCGGCCACTGTTCGGACCGGCGTGTATCAGCTTGGCCAGTTCCACACTCCGCTCGAGCACCGATTTCCGCTCGCACCTGATCATGTACCGATCGTCCCCGTTGACCACAATGAAGTCTATGTACGGATTGACGATGATCGGCACGCCTGTGTAGATGTTTGTCTGCCCCCGGGAGTAGGCGGGTGGCATCATGTGGGCGGGCGGGGCACTGGGCGCCGGAGCACTCTGGATGGCATCCACGTGGTGGCCATCGGGCCCAAGTCCGAACGGTAGCACCATCCTGTCAGGCTCCCTATCGTCGTTGTTGTTGTTGTTGATGTCTTTCGGCTCTGAGATCTCCCTCTCCTTTTCCCTCTCCCGACGCCGTAGTGCCTTGTGGACCAGGGCTCCCACCAGCGGGAACTTGGCGATGCGCTTCTCCGGGGTGAGCTGCTCCTCCAAATGGCTGTCGATGCGGCGCTGGCGGTATTTGTTGCCGGGACGAGGCTCTAGGCTGTCCCTGTCGTGGAAGGCAGTGATTTTGTTGGAGAACTGAAAAAAACAAAGATATTTTAGACTATTTTTGCAATTGTATTGATTAATGTGAGGTAGGTTTTTTTATTTGAGAAATGTATCTCGAAAAATATAGTTATATTAGCATTTTTTAAATTTAAGACTTAAAAGCCACTAATTTTAAACCATTTTTTGTCAATTTAAGAATAGTTTTCCATGAGCTCTTTGAATTATATAATTTTTATATTAGCATTTTTTAAATTTTAGACTTTGACTTAAGAACCCCCGAAAAATGGACAGCAGAAAACGGTATTTTATGCCACCAATTTTAAACACTTTTGTCAAGCCCTTTAAATTATCATTAGTTAAATAAAAATGCATTCTAATCAAAAGGAATGCGAAGATAAACTAAAGTACATGTCTAAGTTCCTAGCAAAGTTAAACATACCTTTTTATATATTCCCTTCTTACATTAAACAGATTTTTTCCACTTGTTTTTAAATTGAAAACCTATTAAGTCTTTAAGTTTCAGTACTGAACAACGTTCTCATTTCAAGTACTAAAGCTCACTGAGGCTCCAATTCAAAGAGCTTGAGTAATAGGATCGATTCACAATTTTCCCGAGGGAACTACATTTTTTATCTTAAGCAATCAATGGATAATATTTACGACCCCTTGCGATGGCCAGTTAGTCATGCCGGCCGGTCCGCCATTTCGCCACGCTGGGAAATCTATAGGAGTTTTTTAATAGGCGTTGTAAGTACTTTCCCACCTGACTGATTGATTCATTGGCCTGCTTATCAGTCAATTGGCACACTTCAAAACATAAATCGTTTCGTGCTCTAAACAGCCTTTAATCGCTGATTTTCGCACTCGATAATAAATTAGGCGTACTATCTGAAAGTGTATGCCGACTAATTAGCTAACCAGCCGTGCCCCAAACCAATTTCCTCAAATTTTTGGGGCCTGTTTAGGCTAGCATATGTTCTAATCGTTTGATTGCCACCAACTCGGCTGCAATCCATCATACTATAGCTATAAATCATGTCCCATATCGAAAACGAGTGCACTGCTACCTATTCGACAGCCGAATTCCGCGCGTGATGTTATAATTCCCCCTAAAAATATCACCAAATGATAGAGCAAGTTTAGAGTACCGAGCCGAAGGAAAAGTCTCAGTATTTAAGCTTCCTTGTTAATGTATAGGAATTTCGAACAACGCACAAGCCATATAAGCTGCACCTAATCAAATTGATAAATATTTGATCGTTTTCAGGAAAAATTTGGTTCCGTTTATTATAATTTAGTTAAGTCTTAAAAGACAATTTATTTAAATGTAAATGCTTAATAGCTTGCTGAAGAATTAGGTATTTAAGGTATGAATACTAAATTAACTCTTAAGTGTTTGCATAGGTAAATCAACTCATATTGAATCAATTTATAAATCTACACGTTTTGGATATTCAATTACAATTCATATATGTCTTGTATGGTTGTCGAATTACATTGCTTTGCATTGATATTTACATGCTAAAACTTGTATAACATTTACCAAGATTAGGTAACGAGAACCTTAAAAATAGGAAGCAGTTATGGGCTTGGGAATGATAAGATTGCCAATTATATGGCCAATATAGCAGATAACACATTTATTCAAAACTTAAAAAATTTCCAGCAGTAAAAATATGTATAAGAATAAAGCAATATATATTTAATAAGAAAAAAAAACAATACATAATATGTTGTTTGAAATATTAAGTACTTTAAGAAGAACCTTAAACATTATATTACGTATGGTTCTTAGTGTTAGCTACATTCAAAAATGTGGGACTTAAATAATGTCTAGAGATAGACTAATTAAGGAATGTTATTTTATTTGAACAAATGTAACGATTTTAGCAATTAGTGCTTTTATAATACGATTAATTAATTGTATAACAAAAATGTTTCTAAAATGATTTTTTACGTGAAAGGCAATATATGCTTTTATATTAATATTGCAATGTTAAAGTGTTTTGGATACATTTTTTTAATGTCTTTCTTCAAAGGCTTCACAAAGAAATCTTTTTCCCAAAAGGTAAATACATATATGTAGGTGAATTTCAGCGAAAAACATTATGAACTAAAGCCATTGTTCATTTGCAGAGTTTGATTTATAGTTCCTGTTCTTGTTATTGCTTAAAGTACAATGCAAACAAAATTAATTGTGGCACAGAGAGATTGCGAGCAAGTTCGCGGCGGTGCCACAGCACATGAAAAGAGTGCATGGGGAAATATTAATAAATAAAATAAGTTATTTCGCGATGTTTGAACAGTTGTAAGGAAGACGGAATCGGGCTTCGAGTGTTGACGACTCCGTGACCGTAGCTCGTTTCTTTCGAGAGGGGATCGTAACGCCTGATATTCAAATATTTACCCACTGAACAATCAAGGGAAACTGTGACGACTTGTGATAGTCTGATAGTGCAATAAATAAATTATCGTATGCAAATAAATTTATGGCTGTTGATGGCTCGACATGAGGCTTTATCATCTGCACAGCAACCACAATGGGAGATGTGTTTTATGCACAGCACAGGCGTCGAATTAGCACTTGGGTATCGAGTCACTGCCCGGTTTCCTTTTGTTTATCAGCCTGCTCTATATAATATCATTGAGGGCGTAGGTGGGCTCTTTCCATTAACAAAAAATCAAATTAACACCCAGACCTTGTCCACCCTCGTTCTTGAACTTTACAACGCACTTGTCATTTGATTCACTATCGCAAACTATCATTTATATCATGCACTTCTTACACTTTATTTGTTGTTTCTGCTTATCGACTCATGGCCCGTTCCATCAATCAAGCGATTAACTTCGGCTTGCCCCTGTCTACGATATGTTGGAAATGAACTCTTTGATTTATAATTTGGCGATCAAATTTTGTAATAATTTCCAATATTGTAAATCACACACTAATTGGTTGGTGGACACTCGGCTCTGTATTCTCGCACGAAATCGACCCGCACACCATGAGTTTGAAATATCGAATGCTCCTCAATCCCATTCGCAAACTGCGACGTCGACCGAGGCAGCGGCAGAGGCAGCGACGCTTGGGGTTGTTCGGCAGAATGTGTCATGATCGTGGCTGCAGAAAAAGTGCTCCATTTCCATACATCATATGGAATAAAACAGGGAGAGCAGCAGAATGCAAAAAAAATTTTTACTAAGTTATAAAGCTATTTTTAATTTTGAAAATTGTTATTATTACCTCTCCATTTTATGACTTAACGAACAAATAATGAAAGTAGAAAGTATTCTTTAAACGTTTATATCCGAGAAGACTTTTCCCAAATCGAGGAAACTCATTCTCAAAAATGAATTCGCAATTCGAGAACCCTTCTTTTGGAATTTTGTTTAATACAAACGTTTAAAAGATTAAGATTTAAAATATTATATTTTGCACTTTTTAATTTTCAGTTATTTGCTGGGTTGTTTTTTAAAGAATTAAACAATTCAAGTAAGAGATAATCTAATGTTAAAATATATATAGTTCCATATTTTAATTCTAAATAACTGTTTTGACTGTTATTGTTGATATTTCGAATAAAAAGGAATAATTTTGATTGAAGTTATTAAAGCACCCATAAAAATAAAGCCTGCCCGCATTTAGCAGCAACTTTGAAGTTGCAAAAACCAGAGAGACCCTTCCAAAATGCAGGTCGAGCGGAAATCAAGTTCTCCGCTTCACAGCCTCAAGAATCATTCATGACTCGAATTATCAACTCAATTTGGTGGACAAACTGGGGAGCAAATAAATTCAATTTGTGTGCCAAAAGAGGCAAATATTTAAGTTAAAGGGAGCACCAGCAGCTGGAGGAAGATTTCACTATTGGCTGAACCAATTAACACGGCGATTGTGTGTGGGTGGATGATTTTGGAGTGGGTGGCGTTGTGGGAGTGTCATATTTGACAACTGTAATTGTCGCAGGCGTTCTGTGTACGCACGAAATTCGCCTTATTGATAAGCAATGCAAATACCATGGCGAGAATAAAAAGTACATGCCCTCACACAAGTGTGGGCGTAATAATAGTAACAAAGAGCAGTACACCAAGGCTCAGCTGAATAGTTATTATCAGCGGCCAAGGCCAGGACAAAGCTGCAAAGCTGCTCGAGTTTGTTGTGTGCACAAGTATTTATGCAGCCAGCGAGGGTTGCCGCAGAAGTTGGGAATGTGAACTGCCCAACGCCACCCAGATTAGATAAAAATGGTTGGAGTCAATTTATTACTATTTTTATCGAATTTTTATATGCACTTTAAGACTTTATGAGCCTTCCAACCGTATACAAGTGCAATGCACTTTACGACTTTGAAAATACTTTCAAAAAGTTGTGTCCAAAAATGTGTTAAAAACCTATTTGTTAGGCACAAAAGGCGATACACATGAATTAATTATTTATGCAGTAGATGAGCTGAATAAATGAGCCACTTGAAATGAAAATCGAACTTCTCGAACTCCCTTCGCCGAGGTATGGGCCACTTTAATGTTTACATATGTATCCACGTACATATATTGTGTGGGGCTGCTGGGGCAACTAAGACTGCTAATGAGTCCCCATGTAAAGCGGAAGCTCCAGATGAGAAAAAACATGAAAAAACGCCCAGAACAACAGCAAACAGTTAACGCTCAAACTTCGCCTCACGGACGACCTTGACACTGGCGGGGTGTCGATGACAACAGGGCCCACTGTACACCATTTCCCCAACATCAACACGATCATCGGATCGCTAAAACCCGTTTATGATCGCCGCCCGAAATCAAATATTTGCATTCATAAGGGAAAATTTAATTAGCAGCATCAACAAAGTGGAGCAGAATCGATATTTACCCGAACAGGCGGGAGGCGAAAATGTTTAATTAGTTGAATTTAACATAATTACTCACATTGTTGGCTGCCGGTAAACAGCACGTAAAATGCGTAGTTCAAAACAAACAATCGAACCAACAATACTGCAAATACACAGCCGAAAAGAATTCCATGTGTAAGCATTAGGAGCCCCGAAATGGAAATGGAAGCTAACCCAACCCATCTTATCCCAGTCCAATTTGCTTCCTGATCGGCGGCCAAACTCTACCTGCAATTGCCGCACAGTTCAAAAATAAAACACTTGCCACATTCCTTGGCGAACCGGGAAAAGTTCACAGCCAGTGCGATGGCTTCTCTATTTATACGCTCCTAATGAGGTGGTTTATTAAAATTAGCCCATAAACAGAGAGCCAAAGTGTAAGTACTGCGAGATTATGAAACACCACTAACAGCAAGGCAAAAATTACATAAATATACATATATTTAGATGAGTAAAGAAATGGAAAGGCAAACCCAAAATACAACTTTACTGAACAGTGACATGAATAAATTGAATTATAAATGGGATATTTACCATTTAAGTAAACTGATGTAAAATTGTAGATAAAACAACATTCGTTTAACTAATTTAATAAAATACCTATAAATAATACGTATTCAGCAATACATCATGGGTGCTGCTCTAGTGAAATATTAATTAGTTTGCATTTATCACCTTATCAGGGTTAGTGAACTTTGTAAATGTAACATGGATAGTTAAGATATTCTAAGGTTACATTTTAAAAACTTACGTTCGGCATCCAAAAGCTTATCTCAATTAACATACATTTTGTGGCAAAATAAATTACACGTGTCATTTGAACGAGTTCCTAATAAAATTAAACTATAATTTCAAAACAACAAGTTTTATGCAAGCAATGAGCAATTTTAGACTGTAACAAATGCGATTTGGATCTTGAACTTCCCACTTGAAGCCCGTTAACTGCAGTAGTCCCGATGAGTAATTGAATTTGCCACGGACCTGCGGCATTGTGGCACCTCCAATCCGTGACTCTGACTGACTCATTCGCAATGCCTTTGTTCTGAGGTTGGGGCCTTGTGCTATGTGTTATAGACACCACCGGACAAGACTCCGACTGACATATTCGTAGGGCCGTTTGTCTGTGGTTGGGGGCCTATATGTTATAGACACCACCGTGCAAGACGCCATTTCAGAACAGGAAAATGACATCATATGGTATAGTGAACGCCGTGAGACAAATACAAAAAGAACAGAAATTGTTGTTTTGTCTTGGCTCGGGAGAACTGCATTACTCATCCATCCCCTGCGAAGATCCAGCAATGGAAAACGATTCGACAAAAATGACGAGCTGAAAACCGGACAAAATTGCTGTCTAGTCTTTTGGCAGTGTGCCAAATGAACCAACAGACACGAAGTATACAAATTGATTAAGGGAAGGTGAGGGATAGCATCAAAACAATTATCTACACAGGAAATTCAACAGAAAGTAATATATAGGTCATTTATAAAAATTGTTAGTTCATTAAATGAAAAGAAAAATAACCAACGCATTTTATCGTTCACAGTTATGTTAAAGAATTACAACCCGACAAAGATAAAGTTTAATCTTTGATAAGAGAAAGGCAAAAATAAATATATTATTAAGTAAAGCCGGGTCTGACACACAATAAACACAAAGAGTAATCTTTGATGAGGAAACTTTAAATACAAACATTGTAGATTTTAGATTATAACTAAATGGGGAATCCCACCTAAAAATCTTGTTTATCTGGTAAACAAAATTAACAAAATATTGGAAAACCAAAAGACTAAGAATTAGTTTCTCTCACATTTATTAATGCCAAATGAAACACAGGAGAATACAAAATTATTATTTTAGGTAATGAGTAAAATTAAATTCCCATAAAAGTCGTAAGAATACAAAAAAGTAATTAAAAATTTACATGGTCGAACAAAAGACCAATTCAATTTCCTTTTAGTCCTCATAGAAAATCAAATTTTGAGGACTCGAGCTTGGTTTCCCATTTGGCAGAACCTGAAGCTAACAAAAGCGACGCCTTCCGAAATACAAACAAAACAGGAAAACGGAAAAGGCGAAAAAAGCGAAAAACTCACCCTCAACACGCAGAAAATTCGCTTGAGGTGGGGTCGCGAAGGGAAAACCCTACGCAACATGTTCCATGTTCGGCGGGGAAAACAAAAGGGCGAGTGGTCTGAATGAAACTGGAGCAGCGGCGAAGGGCATCAGCAAACAGTTGGAACAAATTTGCAAAGGCTGACAAAAGAAAGAACAAGTTTTTGGGGCGAAGAGACCTTTGCTAAATGCAGAGCGTTTGGCATAGGCCAATAGCCAATATCAAGAACGCGATTCTGAGAGAGGTGATTCTGGGGGGGATTGGGGTTGCTGGGGCAACCAGTTGGTGCCAAGGGCGAAGCTGGGGAATGGACGTGAGTGCTCGTAACAATTGACAATGCGGCGTATGCGCGATGGATGCCCAGCTGATGATACAATGAAACACTGACACAGTGAACGACTTTCCCACTCTCCCACACACATAATTACACCCACACACACTCACTTACACACAGTCGGAATAACTTTCCTTTGAACAGGCTTTCATTCGCCAGTGTCTGTGTATTTTATGGATACACAATTTATGTTGGCCAATTGCTCGCCTCTGTTTGTATACAGCATTTCTTTTTTTGATTAATTACACACGGTGCCAAAGACTTACCCTAGTTTATGGCATAAATTTTATACCAGCTTATCCTTAATTTATAGGCCAATTTTTTTGGTCTTTCTATGAACTTTGCCAATTTCCGCCCGTTGCAAAAGGTTGATAAAATTTCTGTTTACGCAAATTTGTTTATGCCAATTTAAGGCCGCTCGCTAGACTCTCCGCACTCATGGATATACAGATATTTTGGCTATATAGAACTGACTCGCGTATATCTTTCCGATCCGAGAGTTTTGCGCGCCTCGTGCCAAACGGAATTGGGAAAGGCAGCCAACAACGACAACGTCTCCGCTCGAGAGCCGAAAAGCGTATATACAACAAAATTTACACGAAGAGCGCCAAAGCCAAAAATATGAAAAAGAAAAAAACAAACGAGGCAGCAGGAAAACATACCAAATTTCCCAGGCTGGCGTTGCCACCGCATTCATCCATGTCCAAGAAATGGACCCCATATAGTTATGGTCCACCTGGAGTAGTCGTTTTTTTCGCTTCCACTTTGGTACCGCCTGGAAACACAAATATTTCGCCTGTATAAAATATAAATGTTTGAAATATTTGGCAATTGATGGCAAAATACCAGCCGTCTGGCAACTTTCCACCGGGACAGGGGAAAATTCTCAGCAGCTTTTCCTCGAACGGACATGCGCATGGAGTGTGGAGCATCAGAAAACGACCCACAGGTCGTATGAGCAGCCAAAAGACGCAACATTTTCGAGCGTGTGATAAGACACAGATACGGGGACTTTCCCTTTCCGGAGAGAGGGAAATTGAAAAGCCAGGGAGAGCGAGAGTGCGTGGGCTTCTGGGGAGGCCCATTTCGGGCTCGGGCCCTAGACAACGGAGCACTATATTGAGGGAGGTAGGAAATTTATTGCTGTTATCAACACACACGCCTGGCCAGCGAGAACCTGCAACAACAAATATCGGGCAATGCAAACTAACCGAAACTAGGTCAAATCCCACCAGCCCGTTTGGAATGCTTCACCCGGAAAATGTATTAAAAAAGTCGGAGTCATTTCTAATTGATTTTAGACACGAGGAATCCTAAAGGCGTTTGAACTGTTTATTTAAAAATATCCTTTCAGCCATCATTAAGAAATTACTTTTAAAGTTAATAAGTAAAAACCATTCAATAAAATGTAAATAACAATTAAGGTAGCAATTTAATTTAATATTTGCATCTAAATAAAATTTATATTTAGAACGTTCCTTATGCTCATTTGTTTTTTAAATGACTTAATATGGAATTTTGCTTATTTATTATTGTGCATAATTTAAAAATGTCCTAAACCAAAAAACAGGGAAAATATTTATGTAATCTATATTTAATTATTTTTAGAGTGTTCTAAAATTTGAAAAAAAAATGAGTTGGATATGAATATCAACAACAAAATCAAAAACTTTCTTTTTTGAAAAAAAATAAATGTACATTTTATTATTCTTGTTAAAGAAATTTTTTTTCAATTTGACAATTTTTTATCGGTACATTTAAGCATGTAGTGCGTTTTCGAGGTAAGGTGAAACATTAGTCGGTCATGTCTTGGGGATGATACGGCAAATTTGATTCCGCTTCGGGATTCCGTCTGACCTTCTGGATCACCAGAAGCCGGAAGGGTTTTTCTGAAGTAAAACCTAGTGGCATATGGGATCGGGCAGAGGTGAATAACAGGAGACATGTTCTCGTTCGCTTCCTAACTTCCAATGGGAGCACTTGTCTGTTCCGATCCGTTTAGTCGCTTGATGGCTATTTTGGCCACGCCTTTGGTGCACTCCGTGGATCCGCCCATGAGGACGAGGAAGAGTCCGTTGTGCGCCACCGTGTTCCACAGTCGCTCGATGGTTCTGTCCAGCTTCGCAACATTCCGCTCCGCGCTCTCCAATGCAAAGTCCTGCTCTGGCACGGGTAGATTTGCAATGGTAAGGGCATTTTCCAGCGCAATTTCAGAGACCTTGCGCACGGCTTCCTTGGACGTGGACACCTCGTGAACACGGACCGCTAGGCTGTGATCTTTGGGAGCAGCCTCTCCTGCCTTTAAAATAACATCCTTGAGCCGGGGCTGCAAATCTCCAACCGTGACGATAGCCGTTCGCTTATCCCGCTTGGCTACATGGGCAAATAGGTTATTACTGATGGTATCACCGCTGGAGGCGTTCGCCAATTCTTGTAATCGCTTTTGCTGCGTAAGGATCTCGTCGCCGAACTCGATGCTGTTAGCCAGCTTCATCTTGACCAGCTTCAGCGTGGCTCGCGAATCCTCAATGGAGTCATGGCCGTCGTCGTTCTCCTGAATCGTCTCCTTTAGGAAGGTCTTGGCCAGGTCCTTAAGTTTGCTCTTGCGTCTTCGGACACCGGAGATGTTAAAGCACACACTGGTGTCAATCACATACGGATGCATCATCCGCATGGCGTTCAGATCCGAGTTTAATGACTGCCCCACCAGTATGGCATCCGGAGGCAGCAGTTCAGACACTTCCTTTTGCACATCCTTCAGTTTTTTCGTCACTTTCCTCATGATTTCCTCAGTGATGCCCGAGTACTGGGTCAAATAGTTGGTGATTCTGTTGTTCGGCAACACTAGTGTTTCGTATACAGTCATGTACTTTTCGTTGACAATAGAGATTCGGGTCAGCTCGTTGACCCCCGCCTCCGTCTGACACATCTCACAATCCACTCCAAACATGGGACTGCGATTGGTCACCGGCTCGTAAGAATTCTTGGTGAACTTGAAGCTCCGGAAGCGATTGTGCAAATCGCCTTGGAACGGAATTGGATAGCCCTCGTCAACCATTTGCAGGGCGGATAGCAGGAGCTTGGTGCGTGGGAACTTGTCGTCCATGTGCAGGTCATCCGGTTTCGTCGGCTTTTTCTCGATGGGAAAGATGGTCTTAACGAACAGAGTGGGATCCTTGTTTAGCTCCACAGCGGACTCTAGGGAGCCGTGCTCATCAATCAGCTTGCGGGCCTGCACATTGGTAAGGGGAATCTGAAAAAATTAAGAAAATTAGATATAAATCTTGATCGGCCACCTTAACCTGAGTCTTACCTTGGCTATCTCTTCGATGATCTGACTTTCGTCCTGCGGGGGAAGAATCATCTCCAGCTTGGTGTTGAATATCCTGTTCGTGGCCTCGAACTGGCTCTCGTTGGAGAGGTAGTGGTAGAGGGATAACCCCTCCAAGATGACCACCACGCTGTGAGACAGGCTGAGCCACTTCTCCACGCTGCACCACCGATCCGGCCGGCAGGGGCTCTTTTGGCCAATGAGGGCCGACATTAGCAGGTTCTGGATGTCGGTAAGGAAGATGGGAGTGCGTGCATGCTGGGGCGTCTCAAGAGATGCTCGCTGGCCCATCTCCCGCAGTCGCAGGCCGGGAACGTCCTCGAGTTGGCGTTTGCGACGTCTTAGCTCCGCCGACAGCTGTTTGTACTGCTCCTCGGACAGAGAGCTTATTTCCTGGGGCAGGCTATCCCCGCCAGCCTCTTGGGTACGACTCTTCTTCGAAGCCGGCTCGTCGCTATCTGTTGTGGTCTGGGGTGCTCCCGATTGCGCCTCCGGTTCGGGATTACTGCGGGCTGTAGCACGATTTCGGGACTTCCGCTTGCTGCCCACCGTGATAAAGCCGTCGTCCGCGTCGTCCTTTGCCTTTGCGGGGGTCTCCTCCGTTTCGGCTTCCTCTACATCCCGTTTTTTGGCCAGCTCCGCCTCGTGCAATCGATCCCGATCGTTCAGCTCCATCAGATTGGCCAGCGCCGCCAGCTTCTTTTTCTTCTTCTCGTTACGCTCGTTCTGCTTGGCAGACAGCTGTTCCTTCATCCTGGAGCGCTTACCGTTCAAGCTGCAGGCGATATTTAGCTGAGTACGTTAATTACTTAAATTTTCAGCAGGTTTCGATTTTGTCAACACGAAGGTCTTCAACATGTGCACATGTGTAGAGAAGGGGCTAACGCGTTATGGCAGCGTGTTGGTATTTAAATACCAAGGCAATGGGTCTTGGCATTGATAACAATAAGCTGACTGCTATAAAAGGCATTTGGCAGTATACAGTGGAACATCTGCACAGAAGAATACTTGCTAATGATAGTGACATTTTAATAAATTAGTGAACTAAACTACACTACACTACAATTTGTACAATCATATACAAATACAGAGGACACTTAAGTTAGTAAGCTTATATATAGTTTATATGAGTCAATGTATGGATCGTAGAACATCGAAAGATTTTTAACAATTAAAGCCCGTTTATTTGATGAACCATGTAAAATAAAATCAATATTTAAAAAATAAAATTTCAGTCGAATTACCTAAGCCATAATACAATTTTGTCAATTCCAGCGTTCTGAAGAATAACATGATCTCTGATAGATTTCTTTTTCAGTATCTGCGGTGAACGGGAATGATCACTGATCGTAATACAAAAGATGAAAGAATTCTATCATGATCAACAACAAAGGAGCAAATAAACAAATCGCAGGCATTTTTTGATAAAACAAACATTAGAAAAAAATATATGTATTTATTATGAATCAGTTTTTTTGTCAGAATTTTTTCAATTGAATGTTCTTAAGAATGTCGTGCATAAGATTTATGAATAGTGCTGTAATTTCGGTAATTTACTGATTACTAAAACATCACGCCCTCTGATTCCACAATCAAATTTTAATTTAATTCGTCTCTTAACATTTCTACTGTATAGTGTGTGACCTTAACTTAGTATTAACAAGCTAAATGCTATGAAACACACTTTGTATGTATCGTGTTCCCGCTCTAACGCACTCTGATCCTAGTAAGATGGAGATGGCAGCATTGCAAATCACCGTTAGGATGCCGCGTGCTTTTGGAATTACTTATAGTCGACAATTTTAACAAGCTCCGGATAATATATTTTTTAAGCTATTGTTTGATTAAATAAAACGCGCCAAAATGTATACAGCTGTTAAGCCGCTTTCCAAGTATCTACAGTTCAAGTCGGTACACATATACGATGCCATTTTCACGCTGCACTCGAAGTGCACAGTGGCTTTGCTTTTGGCCTGCACTTTTCTGCTTTCCTCGAAGCAATATTTCGGAGATCCTATTCAGTGTGTCAAGCAGAAGGATGTGGACATTTCCATGGACTACATTCACGCCTATTGCTGGATCTACGGGGCCTATATGCAGGACAATGTCACCTTGGCGCCTTCTCGGCGCGTAAACGCCTTGTTGCAGTGCCGGCCAGGTAAGATTAGTAATCTTTCAAAGATTTCCAATTTTTTAAGCTATGATTCCCGATTTCAGATGTTGTGGGTCGCGAGGTGCCACCAGAAAATCGCCGCTATATTCGCTATTACCAATGGGTGGTGCTGGTTTTGCTCCTCGAATCTTTTGTGTTCTATTTGCCCGCCTTTCTCTGGAAGCTTTGGGAGGGCGGTCGGCTGAAGCATCTATGCGACGATTTCCATAAAATAGCTGTTTGCAAGGATAAGAGTAGGAGCCATCTTCGCATCCTGGTAAACTATTTCACCAGCGACTACAAGGAGACCCACTTCCGCTATTTCGTCATCTACGTCTTCTGCGAGATACTTAATATAAGCATCAGCGTAAGTTTCGTGGTCTGCAAACAAAATCCTTTGACCAGAAGTAAAGAAAGCATCTCATAAATATGTTAGTGCGGTTAATAATAATCCATTTTTTATGTGTAGGAAGACCAAGTTGTTATATGTGTAGGCTGACAAACAAGCTCGAATTGAGCATAATTTCAAGATCTTAAGGCGTATGACTCGAATGTCGTTTAAATGTGCATCACAGTTTTGAGATTTAATAAAATTCTGACGACTTTATAACTACTATAGCAGGCTTATGGGGTCAACAGATTTAAACTTTGGCTATCCAAATTTAGTATTAATTTTTAACAGGTACAAATATTGAATACACAGAATCTACAGACTCCATTTTGACATGTACACCATGTAGGTCAGCTTATGTCAATCTAATTTAACCCATACTAAGAATTAGCTATCATTTACCCATTTACTAAGCCCAATCCTTATTAACTATCGAATTTGCTTTACAGCTGGTAAACATCCTTCTGTTGGATGTATTTTTCGGTGGCTTCTGGGCCCGCTACTATGATGCATTACTGGCCCTCTATGATGGCGACTTTGAGCAGTGGAACAGCATCACCATGCAGGTCTTCCCCAAGTGTTCGAAGTGCGAAGTGTTTATTGGCGGCGCTGGAGGTTCGGACAGCAAGTACGACTTCCTCTGTCTTCTTCCCCTAAATATGTTGAACGAAAAGATATTTGCCTTTCTGTGGATGTGGTTCATTTTCGTAACTGGACTGGTTTCCCTAAAGTTTCTATACCGCTTGGTAACCGTTTTTTATCCCGGAATGCGGTTCCAATTGATGCGGGCTAGGACCCGCTTTATGCCCAAGTCTCACTTGCAGTTGGCTTTGCGTAACTGCAGTTTTGGAGATTGGTTTGTGCTGATGCGCGTGGGCAACAACATCAGCCCTGAGATGTTCCGCAAATTGTTGGAGGAGCTGTACGAGGCACAGAGTTTGACCAAGAGAGTCCCGCCAGGAGCGGATGAAATTTAAAATCTCAACATTGACACTTCATTTAATCTCAAGATGCTGAAGTAAGTTTTTCTTTTCGAAATCATATATCTAGTAGAATGCTAAGATGACATTCATATTCTTATTACATCTTATCGATATGTACATATTATCGAACAAATTGTTAACTAATAAAACCATAAACATAAGTGAATATTGCATTTTTAGTTGCTCAGCACATATTGATACTAATTTAATTCTATATTTTTCACCAAATTTTTTTTTTCTTTTAAGAGAAGTTTAATGTTTTACAAATTTATGTTGTGTTAAAAATCAAAATCAAGTTTCCTGCAAGATATTTATTTTTGGTTGTGGTTAAATTCACTTCACAACCGAGTTTGGTGCATCCTGTAACTTACTAAGCTAACAAAATGTTGAAACAATTTGGTTAAGATATGCTTAAGATAATCATCATGACACATTTACTTTAACATTTGTATACATAAATTAAAAAGTCATGAGTAATTTATGAGACATTTAAAATAAGATAGTTCTATAAGTTGTGAGATGATTGAACATCTTTTAGTAAGTAAGCTTTGAATAATCCCTAATTATCCCGATAATATACTCCGCGACCTACCTTTGCGATCTAGCAATGCTGCGCAGGGCGAGTCTCGTTCGGGTCCACATCATTTCGGTTATCTCGGGTGGGAGGACAAAGGATAAATGACCGCTTTGCACATGCCGTTGTAAGGCCTGTGTTTAATGGAACTGGTCAACCTTCTGCTAACCGCTGGTTCCTTTGATGGCTGGTTGAATGGACGGGCACAATTTTCTTTGCTTGCGCATCAATTTTTATTGACTGAGTCTTTCGGGTTCAAGGGAAAGCAAAGTTTGACATCAATTCATGTATTATTTTCTTAGTTCATACTTACAATGTGTCTGATAGTAAAATTTTGATAAAAGATTTTTGACAATTTTCTAATAAACATGCATGTGTTTTTATGTTTTACTGCCGTTTGAGTTTTTTTTTGGAAGAGTTTTCTGGCAATTGACGTTTGCGGTCTTAGCTTTTTTTTTGTGGACCTTTAAAATCTCAAACAAAAATGTTTGTATTTTGAGTGCGCTGTACGAAATTTGTAAAAAAAGTGATTTTGAAACGTGTAAGTAACAATTAAGAATTAAGTCTGGGCTTGCTTGGGTCGAACCGAACTAAAATTGCCAACATTGACACCTTGGGGTGGTGGTGTGGTTACATTCTTGGTTGACTGGGTGGGTGGTTGGTTCGTTGCTCTGCAAATTCCCCTTCAACTTGCACTTTTCGTCGGTCATTTCAGCTGACCGCCGCAGTTGCCGGGCCAATTTTCATTAACTAAAAAACGATAAAGTTCGAAACGTAGCAGAAAAGTGCAGCAGTGGCCGGTAGAAGTGGGTCGTTTGACCGCTGATCCACTTTCCGGAAGCCTTCATAAGCAGCGCACTCGACCACCGCCGGCTTCAGTTGCCGTTCGCCGGGCGGATCGCGCGGAAGTCGTCGTCGTGGTCTCTTGGATATCAAATTCGGTCTTTGCCATTGCTTTTTGTGGATTTTTGTTTAAGTGAACTGCTGTAACTCGAGGCTCCTTGTTGGCCAGCCAATTTAACAAAGTGCTAAACATTAAAATAAAAGCAGAAGAAACTGAAGATATAGGGTTTCAACGATTATGTGGAATAAAAGTTTATGTCACTGCTTAATTTAAAATGGTTAAACAATAAACCTTAACGTACAATAACAAATTGTGAAATATGAATTACAATATGGATGGTATGTGTGAAGCTCTTTAATATATGTAAAGCATACATTTGTTAAGACATGTTAATGGTCCGCTATATTAAAAATTATATGTAAACTTTTGTTTATTTGTGAGTTTTAAATATATGAACACTATTATCAAATTTTATAAAAGTCCTAAGTTTTAGAGCATGAATGATACTCATCTGGAATGCAATATTAATAAAAATGTTTTGACATAGTTAATCAAATGCTACTTTATAATAAGGTTCGAATTATTATTGTCATCAACAAATATTCATAAATCAATATTAACTGCGTTTCCGTACGCGTTGGCAACAAAGAGCAACGAATTTAAAAAAAATAAATTTTTTTATAACCCAGTTGCAATTTTCACCCACGTCTGTTAACATTGTAAGCATGAAAATGAATTCCATAAAATGGTTGTAGGTAACCATTTAATTTGAACAAAGTTCAGCATTTTTGTAAAAATTATTGCGAAACTGCTGAGCAGGGAAGAAAGTGCTGACCAAAATAAACCAACAAAAGAGGCCAAAAAAGTTTTAATTATGCATGTATGGTGAAAATAAAAGTATGTAAAATGAATCCGTAAAAGAAAACAAACAAGTAAACCATTTAATAATTAGGCAATTGGGTGATTAATAAGGCAAACGTAATAGGCTCTAAATGGGTTAACTTTTTTTATACAATAATTTCAATCGAAATTCTTTAGAGCTGGAGGCCACCAGGCTACTTCGACATCCCCGACGATGGTGGAGCAATGGTTTCAGCAAACGAATTTTGGCCATCTCGGTTCTGGTTATCATCGTTCTGCTTTTCTCCCTGATTTATCATGGACTTGTGGTCGAGAGAATTGGTAAGTGTAAGAATTATGCTCTAATATGAAGAATTTAAGTATTGGTAACACTCTTAACAGATCGCGTCCAGCAGATTGCCGCATTAAATGCCAGGCATCAACTACTTTTCAACCAGCCCTTCGAAGAGGATCAGTCTGCTTTGATTGTGAGTCCTCAAACTTTGCATTTTAAACTGCTTGACGATGATAAGAATAAAGCGATGGATGAAAGCAAAAATATAAGAAGGAAGCACTTGAAGCGTATGCTAGTTAAGTTCCGATTGCAAAAGAAACATCGCACACGTCGGGAGTTGTCTAGTTGGAAAATGCTAGATCCTATCCAAATGGAAGCCAATCTGCAGAATCTGTACTCCAAGCTGAGGAACAAAAGGGCGAGGGAAGCTCTTAACCAACTGGAGCATGAGTATGTGCGCTGCAAGAAACAGACTCCCCATGATTGCATGTCCGCTTTTTTGCGCATGTACAAAATGGCCATGGAGGTGACCGAGAAAATGGAGAAGATGAAGGCTATTATGCGGGAGCAGCAACCAAATTTGGAGTCAAGCAGCCGGGAATCTTACGAACAATGGGGTAAATTTTCTTCAGGAGATTTAACCCAAGAGACAACCATAGCAACAACTACGGCAGAGGAAAATGCCACTGAAAAACCAGTGCGAACCAAAATTAAACCTTCCAGGATCAGCTGGATCATCGATGGACACGATCATGATGAGAGCGGAGTTTACACAGATGATCACGTCCAGCAGAAAACTACAACCAAGGATCTAGTTTACACCACTCAAGTTGTGAACAATACGAGGCCAGAGGTAGAAGAAACCACCAGCGAATGGTTAAGTGTTGGGAGCACAACAGAGAGGATAAGTTGGATTCTAGATCACTTTGACAAGCCCAAAGAAATTGTGCGAACGACTGAAGGACCAGGGTATCGAACAACTAGAAATGTAACCTCCCCCAGAGCATCTACTAAGCCTACTTTGATATCAGAAACTACGAATAGTGATTTTGTTGGTACCACAGAAAAAGGTTTAGAACTGAATATAACTACAGATGCATCAATTGAAACCAGTCATACCACCGCTCAGCGAAAACTATCATTCGACTGGATTATCGATGGAGAGGAAAATGAGGAGCCACAAGAAAAGACCAGCAACACTAAAACAACGACTGCCACTGTCCCCACAACCGAAATCACCAGTGCTACCACAGAGCAGCCTAAACTACACTTCGATTGGATAATTGACGGTCGTGATGTAGTAGAGCCGCAGGCAAACTCGAATACCACCTTGCCAGAGAGCACCACCGAGGCCACAGGTACCACCCCAGGGCAACGAAAACTGCAGTTCGATTGGATAATTGATGGAGAGGAAGTTGTAGAGCCGCAGGAAAACTCACCTCACCACCACCACCGCAACAACAGTGACAATCAGGACAACTGTAGCCAGCGATGTGCTGGAGAACTCCACTGCCCATCCCACCAAGCCACAACCGGTGAAGATCAGCTGGATTATCGATGGCGAGGAGGCCAGCAGAGAGGCTAGCAGCAGCTCTACTATCCAACCAAAGTTAACTACCAGGGAGGCGATCAGCGATGCGGGAACTCCACGATCCTCGCATCCTCTAGACAACCCGAGCAGCATCGAAAACATGCTGGAAAGTTTTGAGCGTCACGAAGAGAAAAAGCCTATTCTCAGGGTACTGACTGGGAATGAATCCTCTGAACAAACCACCACTGATCTATACGAGCGCCAGGTCTGGCTGAAAAAGTTTGAGGAACAGGCTAATCCAAATCAAAACGAACTCATGGATACATTTGGAACAGTTTTAGACGCCAAGGCGTTGGACAAAATGGGACCTAAGATCAACCCACTTAATAGACACACATGGAATGGTGAGATTAATTAGATTTTAAATACAATCAATAATTTACATTTTTTCCAGCTGCCGATACCCAGATCCTCAGCCTGTGCGAACGAGTGGCCCTTAAGATGCGCAATAAGGTGGCACCCTTGGCAGAGGCTGAGACCAAGGAGAAGGGCGAAACCATTACGGCCTCGCCCAGTATGCAGTTTACAAGTCGAGCTCCTGGCGGATTCCCCGTATCAGGGGAAACGATGAAGGCCTCGGCTCAGTTCATGTTCAACCCCAACTTCGGGATGCCCAGCATACCGGTGTGCTTCTACATGACGCCTGCCAACTTCCGTATGCCCATGTGGTCGAATTCGCCCTCGTTTATGGGAATGCAGGGTGCTCACTTTGGTGGCTCCTCAAACCCTGGCGGTGGCATATTTTTTGTCCCACAACAATTTGGACCAAGTGGTAACTTTTTCGGAGGGAGTGGTGGATCTGGAGCCGGTGGTCAGGGTGCCAATATCTTCTCGAAGAACGCCTCACCCCAGAAGCCGTCCAATGGTCAGCAGCAGCAGGTTTACTGCAGCTACATGCAGAATCAACCGGGTCAAGGAGCAGGACAACCCCAGACTTCGAATCAACAGCAACAGAGTGGTCAGACAAACTTTTCCAATGCCAACTTCAAGATGAGGCATGCCAATCAGTCGAGCTCTGCCCATCAGCAGGGTCAGGTTATCTACGCCAGCTATGCAGGATTGCCGCATCAACCAATCTTAGAGCGATCCAGATGCCCGGACCCGGAGCAGTTATCCTGCTTCGGTCAGCAGGAGTGTATCGCCGCCTCGAGGTGGTGCGACAATGTGGTGGACTGTTCGGATGGCAGCGATGAGTCCGCCTGCACCTGCGCAGATCGCGTGGACGAAGAGCGTCTTTGCGATGGTTATGCGGATTGCCCAATGGGTGAGGACGAGCTGGGCTGCTTTGGCTGCGAGCCGCTGGCTTATTCCTGTTACGAAAATCCAGAGGAGTTTGCCAAACATAATCACTCTACAATTTCCATGTGCTACAATCGGCTGGAGCGCTGTGACGGGTACATGAATTGTCTCAATGGACGCGATGAGCAGCAGTGCAGCATGTTGGTCACTGATGTGGCAGATCACATGGTAGTTAATGCACATTTTTTTAAGGAAATCTTTTATAATATTCTTTAAATCTTTCCAGTCTCACGCTGCATCTGCTTCTGAAGGATTTCTGTACCACAACTACCGCGGCGATTGGCACCCTGTGTGCAATAATGGCGATAAATGGGCGGCTTCAGCCTGTGAGCTGGATGGCAAAACTGGAACGGATCTGCCAGCTTCGCTAAATGTCAGCTTCTCGGCCATGAGTTTACCTGGTCCTTTTATTGAACCCTCACTTCACGCCGGAGTCCTCTTTGCGCAGGCCTGTCATGGACGCAATGGACAAGATTCCCTGGTGGATCATATGGCCTATGTAAAGTGCCCACCAATGAAGTGTGGTATGCCACACAAAACCACGAAACCGGAGCACTCAAAAAAAGTGAAAAAAGCAGTATCGGAGTCAAAGGAGATCGTTGGCGATGGACGTATTGTGGGCGGAAGTTATCCAAACGCCCTTCAGTGGCCATTTATAGTGGCTATTTACCGAGATGGCAAGTTTCATTGTGGGGGAACCATCTACTCGGATCGTTGGGTGAGTTTATTATTATTTAAATAATTGATATTGTATATCTTGTTACGCTTTGCTTAACTATTTTATTATTCTTTCGACAGATCATCAGCGCTGCCCACTGTGTCATCAACTTTGGAAAGTATTACTACGAGGTGCGTGCTGGTCTCCTGCGTCGTACCAGCTACTCACCCGCCACCCAGATCCAGCCCGTAACCCATGTCGTGGTCCATCAGGCCTACGAAAGGAGGAGTATGCGCAACGATCTTTCTCTGCTGCGTCTAGCAAATCGGCTGCATTTTAATCGCTGGGTGAAGCCTATCTGTTTGCCAGACATGGGAAGAACCACGATGGGCAAGGATTGGATCTGGGGACCTGAAGAGAACACTTTGTGCACGGTGGTGGGATGGGGAGCCATTAGGGAAAAGGGTCCGAGCAGTAAGTACCGTTCCCCAGCTTGTGGGGGAACCATATCTATTTGAAATACCAACCTATATATAAAATTGATTTAAATGTATATTAATACCTGTTTTATATTTTCCCAGGTGATCCCATGCGACAGGTAGTAGTACCTATTCGCAAACGTTGTGTTGAGCCAGAGGACCAAGCTTCAGAGGATATTTGCGCCGGCGATCCGAACGGAGGTCGCGATGCCTGCCAAGGTGATTCGGGTGGCCCGCTCTTCTGCCGCAGCGTTTCTCAGCCAGAGGAATTCTATCTGGCCGGGGTGGTGAGCCACGGCAACGGATGTGCTCGTCCCCAGGAGTTCGGAGTCTATACGAGGGCTGCTCTCTACTTGGACTGGCTGGAAATGGCGGTTACTCCGCGTCTGTTGCCCACTCGACAGCCGCTCCAACTCTGTCCGGGATTCATCTGCGTCTGGGGCGGTAAACGGTGTATAGCTAAACGACAGAGGTGCGATCGCAATGTTGATTGCCTGGGTGGCGAGGATGAGGTGGGATGTGTCTACAACTTCATACCAGATATGGTCGGTGGCGTTCGACAGAATGTCAGCACCACAACCGAGAGTGACTATCATCCAGTAAAGGAACACAAGGAGGAGCTGGCGGAGAGTAAATTGCGAGAGGTTATTCCCATTAAAGATTATGATTTATGGGCTGAACAGAATGAGGAAGGCGACTGGGAGAGCACTACTGCTTTTGAGGAAAATAAAACCACCCAATGGCAAACGGATTTACCTTTAACTGACGAAACTTCCTCAACTACTTCTGCTGATTTATCAACACAGGGAGAGACCACAGAAAGTTATACAGAGATTGCTTCAACAAACCCTTCATCTATTTTGTCTTCCACAAATGCACAAACAACCATTTCATCTACAATAAGTGATTCATATCCTAGTACAACGGAATCTATATTGGAGACAACATCAACTTTGCCAGTAACTTTACCAAGTACAATAGCTCCAACTACAACAATACCCACATCAACTGAGGATTTAATAAAGCTAACCGATTTGGTAACTAAGTTTATTGAGAGTACAACTCTTGGAACCACCAAGGCGGTAGAGACGAGTACTGCATCTCTAACCACAACAGAAGCTGCCACAACAGTTACTACGGAGGGAGTTAAGGGAACTACAGACACAGAATTCACAACCACAATTAGCACAAGTACCAGCTTTACCGTCTCGCCTCTAACCACAATCACTACTACCGTAACTACTAAAAACCCTGTAGAAACCACATCTTTAGCACCAACTACCAGCACTCATTCTGTTCAGACAACCACCACAAAGAGTAGCAGCACTCATTCTCAAAAGAATCAAATGCAAATTCCCAATAAATTCGTCTGTAAAATGTTAGTACACTTAGTATAAATGTATTTAGTTAATTGTAATGTGCGTTTTTCTATCTCTCCGTAGAATGTCTCAAATTGTGGATATTATGATGCGTTGTGACCGCAAAGTGGACTGTGAAGATGGAACTGATGAACTGGATTGCACATGCAGGGACTTTTTGAAGGGAAGTCTGAAGGGCCTCATTTGCGACGGCAAGGCAGATTGCGAGGACCTCACCGATGAGCAGGATTGCGGTAACATCTGGTTCATGTTAAATAAACATTTAATATCTGATGTACTCTAATTATTTTCAGTGGATTGTCAAGCTCACGAGTTCCGTTGTCCGTTGTCCAAGACTTGTCTGCCCCTAAGCAAACGCTGCGATAATAAAGTGGATTGTAAGTTCAAGGAAGATGAAAAAGATTGCTGTGAGTATACATAAAGCCGATCTAGAATCGTACGAAATTTTATTTATTATTTATGAATATATTCCACTAGTTGCCCTGACCAATGGTCATGATGTTCACTTCGATGTGCATCAGCAGCCTAAGTTTAGCAGTACCGGTATCTTCTCCAGAAATGCTCATGGCGTGTGGCGGGTTGTTTGCACCCATGAGACGGGCTATCATCAGCATCAGGCCAATACGGCAGACGCCGTGTGCGCTCTACTTGGCTTCAAGGGTGCCCACAACTTCAACAGCTCGGAATTTGTAAGCCAGCAAGAAATGCATCCCATTACACCTGAGCTAAAAGCAGGCAAGACTGGCATGGTGGCTCAACTTCGATCCATGATCGGTGACAATATCCAGTTTACGGATAACGAGGTCATAATCCCTGAGCTTGGTCCACCGTCCGCCTCAAGACCGGATAAGGATCGATTATTGCCCCGCAAGTGTTTGGGCATCTACGTGGAGTGCAATCCCCTATCTAACAAAACCACACCCCTAAAGACCTTTAGTGCTGGTCAAGCTGTAAAGCAAAAGCCAAAGGAGCAGGTTCCAGTGCTCCTTCCAACTATTGAAACCCACAACAAGCCAAATGTGCACTTCAAGCCACAGATCCCACCTGTAGTTGTGAACAAAAAGGATGAGATCCTGGATCGGTTGGATAATCTAATCAAGAGTAAGAAGAACAAAACCATACTGGTGAATGAGCAGCTCCACGAAGCCATCGAGGAGTTGCACTGGCCTTGGCTTGCGGATGTCTATTCAAATGGTGATCTCTGGTGCATCGGAGTCCTGATAGATAAGGCCTCTGTCCTGGTCCACGAGAGCTGTCTATTTGGGATTGGCTTGAATAGCCACTACCTAAGCGTCTTGTTGGGCGGTGGCAAAACCAAGAGATCGGCCCACAAGAGCAATCACGAACAGATCCGGCGGGTAAACTGTTTTCAGCCAGTTCCGAAGTCCGATGTGCTGCTGTTGCATCTCGAGAATCCTGTTCGTTTTACCCATCATGTGCTGCCTACTTTTCTGCCTGACAGGTGAGCTCATCTTTTCGGTGTAACATTCCCTACCTACAAATTTAATAAACACGTATTCTTGCAGCTCTCATTACAACCAAAGTCCTACGAGGGACTGCATAAGTGTGCTTCATGACAATGCCACGGGTCGCATAAAAACGGTGGCCATAACCCGCATAGACAACGATGTAAACTGCAATTCCTGCTACAAACTGCAGGAAAAGCAGCCGCCGGCCAATCTAATGCGCCTGCTGAATGTGAGTGCCGAGGACATGGCATCAATTTCAGAGGAGGTGGAACTTATTAACGGCGTGGCGCCCACAGAGCTGCCGGCAATTACAAAATTCACAAGCTGCAATCAATTTGGCCTGAAAAATGTTAGCGACTCGCATCACAATCCCAGCGACCAGGGGATACTGGTATGCCGTGATTCCCACACCGGCTGGTTCCCAACTGCCATGTTTAACTACAACAACTCTGATTGCCAAAGTTTTAGGCAGCCCTTTAGCATAAGGACCCTCGAAATGGCATATAATTCGCTGCAGAGTATTATAGGTGTGTTCTTTGTTTTCCCAAAGCTTAGCAAATTATAATTTGAATAATCCGAATAGACAAACCCAGCTGCAAAATCCTGCAGCCAGCTCTGGAATGCAACACTCATCGTTGCCCGCTGGGCAATTGTTTGCCGCAAACAGCCATTTGCAATGAGCGATTCGATTGTCATGATGGCAGCGATGAAGATGAAACCAAATGCCGCCAGCAGAAGCAGCGATGTGCACCCGGCGAAATGAAGTGTCGTACCAGTTTCAAATGTGTTCCGAAGAACAAGTTTTGTGACCACGTGTCTGACTGCGAGGACATGACGGATGAACCAACCATCTGCAGTTGTTTCACCTATTTGCAGTAAGTTGTACCTTACATTATTAAAGTCTTGTAGGCTACAATTGCATATTTTAAAGAGCTACTGATCCCTCAAAAATATGTGATGGCAAGCGAAACTGTTGGGACAAAAGTGATGAGAGTTCAGTCCTGTGCAATTGCACTGCAGATCATTTCCAATGCAGCTCGTAAGTAAACGTCAAATAGCAAAAAATATCAGACTGAGTTAAGCTGAATTTTTATTTCAAACAGCTCTCCTGAGGATTGCATTCCTCGGGATTTTGTGTGCGACAGAGAGAAAGATTGCCCTAATGGCGAAGATGAGCGATATTGTTTTGGAATAGAGCACCCGCTGGATCAGCAGAAGAAGGATTTCTGGGCCAAAAGTCAGCACACGTAAGTATATAAGCTACGTTTTAAAGATAACTAAAGATATTTACTTAGTCTTCAATTTCTTAGGCAACCAGAGATAGCTCCCCAATACGGTCAGGTTATTGAACAGACCTATGGCATCTGGCACACGAAATGCTTCCCCAAAAGCAAACCCCCACAAATGGATGAAGTGCGCGAAATATGTAAAAAGTTAGGCTACAACCCGTATAGACAGCCCAGCTATCGGTTAATTGACGATATGGAGAACAAACCCGTCCACACCTACGAGTTGGCGGATCGACAGGGACGCAGTTTTAGTAATGAGACGCTGGTGGGAAAATACCGCGACTCCACAAAGGCTCTGATTATCAGCAAATTCTCGCCACTGCAACTCAACGAGCGTCTTACGCTTTTCCTGAAGTCCAGCAGACCAATTGCCGAATTGGTTAAGTGGAATGCCACGGATTCCAGCATGTGCTACAGGCTGGAGATCAGATGTGCCTAATGCTTGATGATATATACTTGGTAAGAGGTCCCTCCGTACTCTCGTGAATGTCGTTTTGTGCGTTTTAGTAGCAAATAAATGCGGGAGCTGTACACTTTTAATTATTAACTTGGTTTTATTTTAATTTAATATTATTTTTTTTATCAGTTTGCGCTCGCATATAATGATTTTCGTTTTAAGCTTGGGATTCGGGTAGTTTCGTAATTTTAGTTTAACAAACGAGTTTTTTGGTTTTATAAATGTAAAAAATCGCCTTTTTTTATGTAAAAGTTCAAACAATCTAATTAATTAAAGCACTTAATTAAAGTTGGGTTTCCTTTAAATTCGTTAAAAAGACATAGGTTATTGGTATATTAAGATTAGTTGTTTTTGAAAAAAAGGTACTTGAGAATTATAAGTATTTGCACCTCTCGAGAGTAATTAAGCAACATTTTGGAAATAATTTAATTTCTCCGGCGCATCGTTGGTAATATAATAATATATGTATATAAATGTTAGGGGCTTAAAAATCGTTAACGTCAGTTAAAGGGAATGTATAAGAGTAACTAGTTAAATGTATTCATAAGTCTTTGGCGCTGATTAGGATTAAGATTTTGGGAATACTTCTAGGAGGTAATTTATTTATAATTTATAAGATAAACGCAAACGTTAGTTGGGATTTGGGTTAGGCAAAATACTTTCAAAGTTATTCGATTTAGTTTGATTAGTGTCAAGATCTCTTTGTACAATAAATAATTTCCATTTTATAATTTGAAATTGAATCACAAATGTCATCGAAGTATTATAAGTACGCATAGGTAAATGCTTAGGCTACAGTTTATCAATCCGAATGGCGATTAGTTAGTTAGTGTGCTATTTTAATGAACCGTGTGTGCGTTTTTATACCCGGTACTCGAGAAGTGTATTATTTCTCATTAGGAATTTAAATAGCTGGTTCTACACACTCAGTTAAAACATTTTTAAATTTCATACCGAACATGTTTGAACATCTGACATTTTTAAAAATGTTAGCTTATATTTGATTGTTTTCGGTGCATTAATTTCTGCAGTAACATCTCTTAAATATGGAAAATATTTTTCAAAAAAACAATGAGTACCGGGAATCTAAAAGTCGGTGATATCGACTACAATATTCATTGTTGTTATGTTTGTATATAGTGAGCGCATTGAAAAGCGATGCATGTGTATAGATTGCAGATAGAGAGTGAAGTTTACTGATTGGATTCTAGGATTGGGTTTATAGCACAGGCAACACAACCTTTGACGATTCTAAGTTTAAGAGTATATAGGTTTGTAGAGTTTGGAAGAAAGCGTAATAAGGGTAAATTTTAGGAGCCCAACTGGTTTACTATAAACTAATGTTAAGCTTTTTTTCTCTTCTCGATTCGCGCAGGGCAAACAAATTTCAGTGATTCTTACATATCGTTTACGTTGTCATGAAACACAGCAGTTTATTTATTTACATATCTAACATACCTACTAAATTACGCTTAGGATTTCGTTAACTTTACTAACTACGGCGTCACTATGAAATGGTTTACTTTCCGTTGCTAAAATCTTAAAGGAATAGTTGGTGCGTTTTTATTTACAAATTGATTCGTTCTAGTTGTTATCATAGTGTGTGGTATATTAAAGCTTATGAAGAGTTAGTAGATTTCACTGGATAAGTTCAGATTCACTGAAAGATTGGACCACAGGCATTCAGGAAGCTGAACATCCGTGCACTGTTTATAACTGTCGATGTAATTATGTGATGGTACTTAGATGATTTGTATATTAAGATAGTGGCGATATTTTGCTGTTTTATGCAAAGGTGATTTAAATAAATTTAACAAATAATTGTTACAGCTTTTCTGTTCATTTTTCTATAGGTGCCGCCGCCCAAAAGCATCCAAGCAGTTCTTTGAACCAAAATTTATAACAGTCCACCCACTTTGTGGCCATAAAGTATGCAGTACGCTCTACTCTTAAATGCTAAAGGTAAGCAAGCATTATATCAGGTATTTTCCTTGAAAATCGCTGTTCAAAAGAGGAAATAACTTTTAAAACTCAAAAGGGAATAATAGTCAATAAATAATTCATATATTTTGCTAAAACTTGCACACACAAAAATTGCCTTAGGCGTTAAACAAATCTCTCACTTGCAATAAATAACTAAAAATTATAAGTAAAATAATGTTATCAGCTTTGATAAAACTGCAGGCGTCAGAATAACCTTGTGCGTTTTTATGAATCGTCAAACTTTGGCTTAAACTAATTAATCGTAACATAAACAACTAAAACATTTTAGTTAACATAAAGAGAAAAACTAAAGTTGAATTTACACAACATGTGATGCGTACACAAAATCCTCTCAAACGATTGCTACAACATTTCGATCACCTGAACTTCATTATCTAAAAGGGGAGGCTTTTATTTGTTATCTAATTTGAGGGAGCTAAAATTAGTTTGAGTTTCCATTTTCCCCTGTCTCGGCACTGATTGTTACGAAGTCCTTTAGTTTACTTCCGCTCCGTCTTCTCTTCGATTTGGGTTGGTGGCGTATTTTCCTGGGTCCGTACCAGATGCGATGGCAATTGCATATTAAGTGGATCGTTAATCCTTCTAAGATTGTACTCCAACTCAGCGGACTTCCGCTTCAGTTCGTTGTACTGCTCCACATCGAATTGGACCTTTTTGGCGTTCCTATAAAGGGTAAGCGAGTACTCGCGATTCTTAACATCCTCCATCATGTACTCCTAAATGGGAAAATATATTTTGTTCATAAATTCTTTGATGAAATTATGCCCATAAACTTACCCTCTTGGTAACGCAATAGTAGGCATACATTGCCATTGTCGTGCCGTAAGTAACAAAATAGGTGACCGGCTCCATAATATCCCAAGAGTATTCCCACCAAGTCAGTCGCGCCAAGATGCCAAATTGCACAGACATAAGGCCCAGACCCATCCAAGTCATAAAATTTGTGCGACGAGCTGCCTTTTTGCTAAGTTCCAGTTTTTTCTGAAACGTGAATATTGATTAAGAATAAGAAATTCATTTATAATAATGATTTTGGTCCAAATATAAATCTATATCATGTTAAGAACAAGTTATAATCATTCTTACAATTAAATATTATTTAATATTCTTTGGAAACTAACCTCTTCCAGTGGCTCCAGTTCGTAGCGTAAGGTCTCCAGTTCTTTGGCCAGTTGATTGCTCTTCTCCAGCTGATATTCGCCCACGTTGAATGCCTCATAGAGCTGCATTTTGTTTTAAATTTATTTTAAATTCAACTACTATTTAAAACTACCTCACCTGAGCAATAACCTTGCGAACATCACCCACTTTATCGACTGACTCCACCGTAATCCTTTCACGTTTGGGTGGATTCACCTCCAATGTGCGGTTGTTGATTTGTATGCTGTAGTTGGATATGATTTAGTTTGGTGGACACCCCAATCATGAATATTTACTCACCTAAAGGAGTCATCCAACAAACTGTCGATAGTGCAGGACGAAGCGATCCGCACACCATGCCTGTTGATCACCGCAGCTCGATCGATGCCGCGGTCCTCAGCTTTTAGCATGGTTAACAGATCGCCTACGTTGTGGGAGATTGGTTTCAGGGCGAACTGGCAGAGTTCGTTGCGACTGGGAAGTCTAACAGTCATATGTGGCATACCATTCACATATTCCACATAGATGTCGTCTGGGGATAAATAAGAAGGCAATGGAAATTAGTTTGATTAGTATAACTCTTAAAGTCATTTTTAAAGCCCTGTTTACGTGTGAGACCCTTTCGTATTTTCAATTTTATAACTACAACTTTTGTATTTTTAATTTTATAAACACAATTTTTGCTATATGCAAATATATTTCCCAGGTTTGCTTATCAAAGTATATTTATTAAGTGTAAATGAAATATTTTATCACACGCAATTGCCTGCAGCATTTTAGTTAAAATTAAAATGCTACAAAAGCAATTTAGTTGTGTTTATTTTCTGGCCGTTGTTTAAATAGAGAAATCTAATGGGTTTAAAAAAATATAGAACTTTGATTTTATGAAATTGATTATTAATTGTTAAAGTTTTATATTATTTATATCCAAGTGTTTCGCATCCAATTTTGCATTAAATCCAAAGATGAAAGCTGTCAGGGAGTTGGCAGACATTCCTGATTACAAATTAACGATACAGTTCTACAAATTCCCTTCACTTCCCCACACAGTTTCTCTAGTCGGATGTGTGCCACACTAAGCTGCAGTTTTCTTGGGTTGTAATTAACCAAAAGCCACTCAAGGTTATTCGCCAGCCTGGCTCAATTCAAATGCAGTTAGGCGTTCGAATTACTTGCTGAGGCATGACTTCTGCGGCGCCCCTCTCGGAAAAAGGTGCAACAAAGCCAGGCAGCAGGCAGTTTAGTCTTCGAAAAAGATGACACAGTGGATTTTGACAAACATTTCAATTAGCGGCATCTAATCGCATTCCTGGTGGTGCATCGCATCGCGAAGATGATAGTCATCTCGAGCTGTGCGGCCAACGAAAAGTTTTCACTTTGTCGCATGTAGGATTTATGCAGCCATGAAGTAGCACAAACATATATTTATCTGTATCGCTGCCACTCATGCAAGCAGCCACCGAATGCAACCACACGCCAATGCAACCACCAACACAGCACCACCAACTTCTAATAAAGATTTTCTTCTCATATGTTACACGGAGAAAAAAACATGAAATTTGGGTTATGTGATATACTTTATGTTTTGTTTTAAAACTTCTTTAAATATTTTGAAGTAGGTTTTAAATGAAGAAAAATGTTAATTATCAAAATAAACTTTTAAGATTTAAATGATATATTTTTTATTTAACTCTTTCAATAAACAACAAGACAAATGATTTAATTTTATATCAAGCAGTACAACTAATAATTTTAAGGGTTTATGAATGGGTACCGCAAAGAAATAATTATTATTTAATATTTATCTTTTTAAGATTTTACTAAAATTATCCTAATTATTGAATAAGTTAAATTCATAAGTTTTACAGCCATAAATGTTCTAGATTTTGTTTTGATTTTTTTTTTTACAAGAAATTAACATAAAGATGGATCCAAATTAAAAAATGGAAAGTATCTAAAAGTATGTATATTTTTTCCAAATGGTTCAAATATATTGATTTCATTTCTGTTATAACTTTCTCTCTGTGTATCAGTTTATATCGCCTTACCAAATGGGCTTGATTGTGAGTGTTAGCTGGGTCTGTTCAACCCATTAGCAATTGTAGTCGGCGCCAAATGTGGGTAACTAGTGTTGTTACTGTTGCTGTTGCAGCTTGGCTAACCGTCGAAGCCGAAGAAGCCGCCGCTCATTGCTCGCTGGCTTCTACGATGATTATTTTCATGGACTTTGATTTTTTGGGATTTAAAACATTTTATGTTTTCTTTTTCTTCGCTGCTGCTTCGCCTCCTCCGTAGGCTTCTTCTGCTTTTATTGATAGTTTCAGATTTTTGTTTTAATTTTCAGTTAACTTTCAGATTTTCGCGCTTGCAGACGTCTGTGTCTCTCTCTCTTTCGACGTTTGAGTGGCGGATAATTTGTGTGTACGTGGCAACCAAAAAAGCAATCAATGCTGACTATAACATAATAATCTCAATTAAGTGGGAAATTGTGAAAACATTTCATCTGTGGTGGCCAAAAAGAGATTTATTGGACTGTTATCGGGTGGGCAGCAGTTGATGAAAGAAACATTCCCGATGTGACATAAAAAAAGGACAGATACCAACAAAAAAAGTTTAATTTTCAAACTATGACAGCCACAGCAAAATGAAATAAAGTTTGTGCTGCTATGACAGATTTTGTTGGCCCGCAAAAAAGCAAAACCATAAAACTACCTTCTATATATGTGTTTATATAGCCACAAATTCTGGGCAAAACACGAACAACCGCAGACAGCAAACGTGCTAACATTGATAATGCCATGTCACATGTTCGCCCACGGCACCGCTTTGATAGGCCGCAACTTTGCTTCATCAAAACTTAATAGCCAGTTTCCGCATCCCTGCCAAAACAAGGCTAACAAGTGTCAGGCAACTCGCACAAAAACCCTGCCCGAGTGTGTATAGTGTATGAGTGGAAACACGTGGCTCGCAAACCAAATGAGGCCAGAGTGTAGACCGGAAATGCAAGCGGCAATCAGCCCACAAATTTATAACAGTCGACTCCTTTTTGTGTGTTCATGTTCTCTATGTTAGAAATGGAAATGCACAGGGAATAATAAATTAGACATTTCATTAATCAAATCATTGTTGAGAAAAAAAACCCAAAGTGTTAATGTTTTTTAATAGTTTGGTATTGAAATAACGTATTCATTGGATACTTTAAAGCTATTCCTCTATATGCATATTTTTTCGATAGTCATACAAATATAATAATTCATTGGTCGATTATAATTTGCAAATTGTATTTAATTTATTAATTGAATTCAAATTCAATCATAACATATCTATTGATGGCTTTATTAACTCAAAAATGTTGACACAAAATATAATAGACAAGCTCATAAATAAATCTTTGATTGAATACATTCTCAATGCTTGTTTCATATTTTTCTAGAGTACAACATTTTTAATGATTTTAGAAAGAACAATTTACAATCCATTTAATGACAGCTAAGCATTGTTTTTTAAATAAAAAATTTTAATTTAGTGTGTCAAATTAAAAATTAAAATGGTTTTCTCGCTGTGAAACCTCTATCGCCTGCAATTAACTATTATTTAAATTTGTAACCTAACTGTTCCATTAGCTGAAAGCCATAAATGTAAAAAAAAAAACAGCAGGATGGAGATGTGGAAATTTCAGAATTAGACCCAGCACTTAAGTTTCGTTTTCCCGATAAGGCGCTGTTTCAACCTCTTAGCTTCGATTATATTTTTCTAGTTCACATCGCAATCATGAGAAATGCCCTTTCTAATCTTTAGCAGACTTTCTGACTGCCGTGATTTTCATGTGTAAGAGAAAACTTGCGAACTGAATATGTGAGCGGAGTGTAGGTGCGTGTGTCTGTGCATGGCCATTGCATGATTACATGGCGGTCCTGTGCCTTCGGCCTCACCGTACCTCCCCTTACCTCCAACCACCCTGCAATGCTAGCAAAAATTGTCCTTTGTGCATTATTAAAAATTCCGGCAACCGCCTCGTGCTTGCATATTTTTTGTGATTTAATTTTGCTTGTACATTTTTCAACAAGATTCGCGTGCCAGGTTTTTTTGCCGAGCCTGCGAGTTTGTGTGTTCCCTTGCATTTAAATCAAATTAAAAAGCCACACCCCAGCCCGACTGACAGCGTTAAATAAGTGCATGCATAAAATATTCAGCAAAAACATACGTTTAAATTGAACGATAAAAAAGGAAAAATCACGCCAAATTTAAAGGACACAGGAAGCGCAGGACCGAGCGATTAGCGGGTAAGTTGGGGGTGGGTATTAGAGCTGGATGGCAATGACAAAGTGAAGACTACAAGGTTTTCCGTGCTCCGGGCTCCGTATCATTTTTGTTACCTTATTTGCCGACTACACCAGTTTACAAAAATAAAAATATAAATTTGCCTTCAATAAGCAATTTTGGTTAACTATAGCAGTTGGTTATCCTAAATAACAAAAACATTTCTTAGAGCAGAGTTTTAAAAACAAATGTTAGAAACTTTGAATTTATATTTCACAGATTTTTGAATGACTACAAAAGAATTATTAGATTATAATCTGCAAACAAAATAAAATAAAATTCTTTTGTCTGTTTATATGTTTTTTTTTGCAATTCAAAGTAGCATACATATGTAAAATGAATCATTCAGTCTCGTTCAATTTAAAGTTGTTTAAAATAGTAAAGGTTTGGTTTATTTTAATTTTTAATTTATAAAGGATATTTTTTTGTTGTATGCACAATAATGGGTTCAATGCTCAATAAAAACATTTTAATATCCTATTCCTATGCTCAGCATATCCAACTGCACCAGAATATCTAAATTGCATGTTACCGGCATAACGAATGTAAACTAGTGTTTGGGGAGCTAAATTTCTCCCCACCTTACCTACCATTTTGTTGAACAGTGTTTTTGGGGACAGAGGTCGTGTCGGAATTATTTACGAGCTCCCCAATGAACACCTCCGACGACAAATTGGAACCTGTTGTTGGTATCGCCGGCGTTGTAGCCAGTGTTGTTGGACCGCAGTTGGTGGATTTTGTTAGCCGTTCTACTAGGTCTTGTTTTCGGCCCGTTGCACTCAGTCCGAGGGCTCTTAGCCGCGTTTTCAACTCGGCCACAGTGAGTCGCGTGATATCTGGGATGATAATGAGTGTGTAGGCATGGGCAGAGGCGCAAAAAGTAGGTGATGAAATAAAAAAGGAGATACGAAAAAGAAATTAAACAGAATTTTCCATCAAAGGGGGCTTTTTGGCAGAGGGCTTGGCCTAGGTTCCAGGTTCCAGGTCCTTCCCCTTTTTCCCTTTTTTTTTTGGATAATGAATCAAAAAGCAAGCAACACAAAAAGGTAGCCCAAGGAGCTTCTCACACAAAAAGCGCAGTAAAAATGATGGCACGTGCAGTTAACGCCGCAAAAAATGCACATAAAAAGGCGAGTCGAAAATGTGTTTAACAAAATAAAAAATACAGCAGGAGAAAACAGACGTTGTGAATGGAGAAAAATGTTGATGGAGAGGCACGCGCTGGAAGGAAAAGCTGGGGAAAATAAAAAAATAAAGGAGCCTCTGGCTTGTCACAACGTTTTCTTTATCGGACCAGGAAATGACACGCACACACAGAAATGAGAGGCGGTGGAGTGGGGGTGAAGTAGGCGTGGTCGTAGACCATCAAAAGAAATGCAGACACATTAAATTTAATGCCATTGTCATTCACAAAATTAACACAATAAACGGCAGGCAAGGCTTCAGTTTGATTGCCTCGAAAAGGATGAGTGAAATAAAATGGTGTGCGGTTTGCATAATGTCACAGAAAAATAGTGAATATTTTATAAATCTGGTTAAAAAGTCATGTTGCAAAATAATTACTGTTTAAATAAATTTTAAAATACACTTTTAAATATGTTTTATATAAAAAATGTTTTAAAGGGAATAATTTTTCAGAAGAAATATTCTTTTTTTGACTATGCAAACAAAGGATAATTTTTTCAATTATTTCTGATTTAATGCTTTCTAATCGCCTTATTTGCATAAACCACATTTTTATATTTCCTTTACTAATTCATAAATTATTTAAATCACTTTCAATGCATAATATTTACTGCCACCAGAAATTAATCCAATTTCCTCGCAACTCCTGGCTTCCCTTTCGCCGGATTAATGTGGCCACAGTTAAACTTCTACATTTTTAAATATGTTTTACATTAAAAATGTTTTATAGGGAATAATTTTTCAGAAGAAATATTCTTTTTTTGAATATGCAAACAATGTATAATTTTTTCAATTATTTCTGATTTATTGCTTTCTAATCGCATAATTTGCATAAACTAAATTTGTATATTTCCTTAGCATTTTAATAAATTATTTAAATCACTTTCCATGCATAATATTTACTGCGATTAGGAACTAATCCAATTTCCTCGCAACTCCTGGCCTCTCTTTCGCCTGATTAATGTGGCCACAGTTAAACTTAATTCCGCGCCATCTAAGCGGATAAAAGCCCTTCATACTGCTTCACATTATTTAAATTAAGCAAAAACGAATTTTCCGAAGTGGAAAAACAAAACATGAAATAAAATGGGAAAACTTTGGAAGAGAGGAAAATATGCGTAAGCCGAGGGCAAACAGATACAGGACCCCATACCAACATTCAGGCAGCTATAAAGCATCGATGCGCCTTTAAGCTCATAAAATATTTATGAAATTGCAGGACAGGACAAAATCTTTTGAAATATCCTGCTTTATGTGGCCCTTTATTTTGGTGGCTTGTTTGTTTGTTTATAATGCTAGCCGTAAAGTCCTTGATTTTCTGAACCGAATTATTTGGCCCAGAATCGATTTGTGCTTATTTTCACCGACTGACAATAATTTTTGGGTTTTATCCCGCTGAGTTTCACGACAATTAAGTTTTGTAGAGAGATAAATATTTTTCTTTCCTTTTTTTTACCCGCCAGGTATCCACTTAATTAATGGAAAAAGGCCGCGGAAAGCGCAGAGAGTTTTGCGGAAAACTCAACAAGCTTGGGTGCTTTTGTGGGTGGTGTTTTGTGTGTGCACAACAAAAGAGAGAGTACCGCAGCAACCGCAACCTCAACCGCTTTGCGGGCATTGTGTTTTTGCATTGTGCTTAGGCCTTTTAATATTTTACTTGCGTTTGCTCCTATTTTATTCACCTTGATCTCATTCTGCGCCATAAGCCAAAGGCAACTGCGAAGTTGGCAGAATAATCCCAAACTGCGGGCCAAGACAAACAGCGTGTAACAAAGTGCAGGGATGCAGGCAACTTCAATGCAACTTATTCGAGTGTCTGGCGCACAGCTTTTTGCCTTATTTTTTTTGGAGAGACATTCGCAGAACTGAAGGGCAGCATATAGGAAATATTTATGGCCATGAGCACTTTGTAGTATATGTTACAAGGTAGAGGGTATCTGTTTTTAGAGGTCCATTAAAAATTTGCAATGATCTATATGTGGAGCGTAGGCTTAGCGAGGTCACAGAATATAATACTTTACATTGTGGGTAATGCATTTGTCATGTCTAAGATATAACTTTAATATTCTGCCTATAAAACGTATAGCAAAAATGCCGCTGGGAATTTGGTTAGACAGGCTAAGAATAATGGTTTTTTTTAGTAGTTTACATACGTTGTAGTGTTTCATGACTTTATGTTAGAATTTCGTTGATAGAGATGTTAGTAGGAGTTTATTTTTTAAAAACATAGTTTACCATTGAGTTATGAACCATAAATCATTACCGAAATTACCATTTGAAAAATTGTATTATAAAAATTAAATGAAACCTTTCTGCTTTTATAAATGAACTTTTCTTAAGAAGTTTTATATTTATTTTTTAGTTTACAAACTGAAAATGAAATTGACCCTGTGTACTCATGATTTTATTCACAGTTTATATTTAGTTGATATATTAGGATTTGTTTAACAAAGAATTGAACTGATACTAATAATAACTGATAATTCATATTAAATCATAATTGATTACTAAGTATAACAAGAGAGACAAGGGGCTTACTAGGAAAAGGGGGTGAGGGATATGGAGATAGAAACTTTGATCCTGCATAACTTTTTAACGAATGGTCCGATTTGAAAAATTTCTTTACATTTCGATAGGTATTGATAAACACAATAAAACTGCTTTTTTACTTTTCCGAAATATTTAAATGTTTATAATCGCATATAAGCGATTGTGGGCGTTAAAGGGTGGCCATTTTGAAACAAACTTGCGCTGCGTAGGAACTTCTAAAATTACATGCAAAATACCAATCTTCTAACTTTTATAGTTTCCGAGATCTCAGCGTTCATACGGACAGACAGACAGACAGACAGACGGACAGACAGACGGACAGACGGAGAGACGGACAGACGGACGACGGACATGGCTAGATGACTCGGCTAGTGATCCTGAACAAGAATAAATTATTTTTTTAGGGGGGAAATTTTTTTTTTTTTTTTTTACGATTACAATCATACCTTTTACTCTACGAGTAACGGGTATAAAAATACATATAAATCAATAGGCAATGACTTTGTTTTAATCGATCGAAAGCCCTATACTTTAATATAAGCTGTTAATCCCACAATCATTTTTCGCTTGTCATGTATGTGTCGGTTGAACTTATGTCAACGAAAGTTCAACAGGATTTTCCTTGTACTTGCACTTCATATTTTACTGTTTTTTGTAAACAATGTACCTTGTGAAATCTTTGCCTTGATGCGCCTTCCTTTGGCCCAAACGAAGCCGCCCGCCCAACCTTCTAGCCGTGTTTTTCCTCCTCACCTTGGACTCTGGACGCACAGTGCGGAAATTGTGTTTTCCCCACTACACTGATTGCCCTGAGTGTGTACGGTATGTAATTCCCGGGGCCGGTGGAAAAACAAGACAAGAACCCCAGGAACGCTTCGGTGAACTCTTTAAGCACTTCATAGGGCGACAACGAGGACATTGAGGCCGTCGAGTGGCGACATTTTGAGTGGGGCAAGTGACGTGTGGAGTCTGGAGGGTCCTTCTCCCCATCCGCCCACTTGGCTGCTCATTAAACAGATAACGCCTCCGCCATATGCTGTTGCTTCCTCGTGTGTATTTTTAGACGCCTCCAGCAAGTTTAATTAATTGCACAAACTTTACGCAAATTAAATGTCAAGCCGTAGTTTTATTATCTTCCACTTGCAGGCTGTCTGCCCACCACGAAACTACAACTAAATATTAGAGCTCCATTGGAACGTCCACCTCCGAGTCCGGCACATTTTGCACGTCAAAATAGGATCCGGACAGAGTCACAGCCTCTGCTATGGCGGCACGATGGGCAACGGATATTTTCGAACGTCACAAACGTCGTCGTCATCACGACAACGGGAAAAGCGGTAAGTGCCACCGAGTTTCACCATGACTGTACTCAGAATATAGAAAATGTACTCTAAAATGGATAAAGCATTCTTTTGGCACACTTAACAAAAACTTTTTTGTAAGAAACGCGTGAAAACTATCGCATTACATAAATAATAAAAAAAATATTGGTCGCGAAAACCCATTTTTAGCCCCTAAACCCTTTTTCATAACCTTGGTCAGCCAAATTACAATTCAGTACACAGCAAATCTATTAAAAAAAGGCTTTACTTCCATTCTTTTTTTTTATATTTGTTTCTATTTTTTTTTAATAAGGTAAAACTATTTTCTTCGTGATTAATCTAAAAGAAAACCCAATTCAAACGCCTTGATTTATAAACCAAATTCTGGGTTCTATTCACAACATGTTGATGTGGGCTTTAAATTCAATAAAAGCCTTCGATTAATGTTGACACTTGTCAGTTTGTCCTTAAGACAAATGGAGAAACATGCCATTAATTTGTTTTCCCAGTGTAGGAATGATTCGGTTCTGGGTCAAGTACCCTGGGGGCATAGAGCTAATAAAATATCCTTGCGGACGTATGTGAAAGTAATGGGAAGGGTGTCCTCGCAAGCCATAAAAGTTGCTGTCGTTTGAGTGACCACCGACCCAGATCCCTCCCTCCCCTTCCCCCATCTGTTTCTCTAATCAGCCTCAACTGGACATCAATATTTATGCCCTGTGGTTGAGGGGGGAAACCCAGTTTGTGGGTGTGACAAATGGTTCCCTAAGACAGAAGGGTTTAAAAGTCAGACAGTTAAGTTTGGCCTGACTTGGCAATTTTCTCATAAGATTTACTGTTTAATGAAGTGAAGATTTGCTTAGAAAAGCTTAAACCATAAAGGAAATAGATAAATTGAAATTTTTAACTCAAACAATGAGTTTTAAAGCGTTCACTTGATTGGCTGTGAAGTTTCTAACTTTTCTAGCGATAAAGCGAAATTCTGACAAAAACATAGGAAAAATAAATAATAATTGTTTTTAAACAAGAGGGAATGGTAAAAAAAACAAAAAAGATTAAAACTTGAGCGTTTTTTTTTTGGTAAATCTGGTTGAAAAAGGATTCTTTAAAAGTTTTATGCGCCAACCCAAGACCAAAAAAAAGGTAAGGAAAATGACGACAAAACTTTTTGGCTGACAAAAGGTGGAAGATGAAAATTAATTCGTCGAGATTATTGCAAACATAATTAGTGACCTTTTCTTTAGCGATGACTTTTAAATCGATTTGATTTTTAAACTTAATTGGCGTGGCAGAAAAGGCAAATAGCTCCGGATGTCCGACAGAAATAGAACACTTGACCAATTAATTAAATGGCAGCAAAGCCAAATTGAGGCCGCAATTGTGGACATGGCAAAAAGAACGGCAATTAAAATCGCCAACGGCGCCTACATGACATGGATAAATACTGGAATAGATGAACGGGGCGTGGCCGAGCATGCATTCATTCAGTGTGGGTCCTTGTGGAGGGCGGTGGGTGTGGGGCTTTCGACAGGGGGGCGTGGCAGCTGCTCCCAGCTGACAGCTGTTGGCGCTCAAATTCCAATCTGCCGCCATCGAAGTGGCGAATGCATAAGCCCGAAACCTGATGAGGGTTGCCAGAAAGCAATTAAAATGGATTTTCATTTTTCGCCTTTAATGTGTGGGTGGCTCAAATTTGTTCCAGTTTATAAACACAGGCATTCTCAGAAAAGTATTTTCAATTAGTTTTTCGGAGTTTCTTCATTAGTTTTTAAAAGCATGTCTTTTGGACATTTATGATTAAAATGTTATGGGAAATTAAAACTTTCTATTTTAAAAATCGTTCAAAATTTAATTAAATTACGTTTTAACCTTAAAATAATTGTTTTCCAAAACTGACAATCCTTCTTTTTTAGTTGGTATACTGCGTGGGTCAATTTTAAGGTAGCTAAAACTCAATAATTTGAAATAATTTAATAATAACTGTGATTGAACTTTTAAGTGGTTTAAATTTAAAACTCCAAATTCCACAAAACCAATTTAAAGTTTATGTTGATATAAAGCTCATCTCGAGCGAGAAAATTGTGTCGATTTTCGACTGCTACCAGAAAACTCACGTGAGCACAAGCTATCCCCTTAGCTTTCCCAAAAATTGAATTGTTTCCGGACGCAGCCGAAAGTTTTGTTTTTTTCTCCTATATTTTCCGCCAATATTCCGACAGTGTTGGTTCGCCTCCATTGCAAACCAAACGGACTAGCCGACAGGCAGTCGCTTCATTTGCATATAGAATGCGTGTTCCGAGGGGCGGTAATGTATCGACGGGCTTTTGGCAACTCGGGAATGGAAGATGGATGCAGGATATGGGGGGATGTGGGCGGAAGTGTGTACATAAAGTTGTCAACAGCGATTGGATGACAATTTTTTGGCCACTGGGCCGGTATAAACAAATCGACTCATGCATACAGGACAGATGGGCACGGATGTGTCAATGGGGCGTGGGTTAAGTCTAACCGTTTTAGCCTTCTAAGCATTTCAAAGATTTAGTCACGTATCGTTGAAGCTCTACATTTTTATGGAAATTGCTATATAAAAGAATGTCTTTGTGTTTGGACACTGAAGAAAAAATCCAATACACAAAAAAGAGAATTTTAAATCACAAGAATCCCAACTAATTGGAGGCCTTCAGATAGGTTGAGCTAAGATGTTATTTATTTTCATTTTTAACTAGTTTTATAAAAATATGGTGTTTTTAGTTTGTAAAAATATCTTTAAACTGATAATTAACCCACATTTAAATTCAAATTAATGTCGATACATTTAATACATTTTAGTCGCGAATTTCTAAATTTTACTTCGATTATTGTTTTGAATGTTCAAAAGTTAAATTTTTGTCAATACAGAATAAAATAGAACACAAAAATGTGTATTTTAAAATCATGGTGGAGTTATTTCTGTTAAAATAATGATTTAATTGACCTGATGAATGTCCCTTAACATAGTAATAAAGACATTATGTTGTTCTATAAACTTTTCTTTCAGTGTATATGGGTGACGAATTCGACTTGTGTATTGTGAGAGTGTTGTATGTGTTGGTGTCAGCATTACGTGTAAGGCATACTTCTCGTGTATTTTTCTTTTATGGGCCTGCTAAGTCTTATTTAACACTGTCAACTCACCTGTAAACAGAAAAGCAAAAAAAGAGAAAATGTCATTAGAAATGTTGTTAAGACTCAATAAATTTCGTAGAAATAGTGAACAAATTGGATTGACTATCAATGTGTGAGTGCTACCCAAAAATCCATTGCATACTTCCGGGAAATAAACTTTTTTTATGGACGTTCGATGTTCATTAAAAAAGTTTGAAGCACATTTCGGCATGCAAAAACCCAACCAGAAAATAGAACAACAACAACCAGGACAAAACTTAATTTGAATGGTATAAAATAGAGAGAATGGGAGAGAGGGAGAGGGAGGAAAACTGTCAGCTGTCAGAATGAGACGGAAGAAGGAAAGCAGTGAAGCCTCAAACAATTTACCAATTAGAATGTGGAAAAAGTTTGTACGTCTGCCGTCAATGTAAAGTACAAAATAATTGCATTTTTTCTCCTCCCAAAACGCCTGCGGTTTATGACGGAGACCGAATGACTGTATAATAAATATTTCACACTAAATTGCACAATGAGAATGAAAAATGGAAAGGAGCAACGATCCAACGACGCTTAAATGAAGCGAAAAGCGGCCTAAAGAAAGAATGAGTGAGGTCCACAAATTGCCGCTGAGTGTGTGCAAATGATGGCAGCAGAAAAGCGATGGAAACTTCTGGGAAATAAAGCAAGAGCTAAGACAATTTCCGCAAACGAGCAGAGACAGAAGAGCAGGAAAAGCGAGGAGCCCAGAAGCAGGCTACACAAAATACCAGCCTACGTGTACGTGTGCACAGGCAAAAGGCGTAACGAGCGAATATCACCATCCCCATCCAGCTATTTTGCCCTCTTTTTTTACCTCTTAGCTTCCGACAGTGAGATTGTCAATGTCTGGCGGAGCGTATAACACTTACACAGACTCGTGTCTGATGTCTGATAAATTCTGCAGCCTTCCTCCATCATCTGTCCCATTATCTTCGCCAGATTTCGCCTTGCACATGCAACTGATTAATGCCATGCACAAATTGACAAGCGAACAGAACAAGCTTCATTCAACCAGGCCCAAGCTAATGTAAATTACCGGAGTACCCGCAGCCCTTGGAGGAATGCCAGCAGTGGCGGATTTATTGTTTTGTTTTCTACCAAAATTTAGAACAAACTTTCCACGATCTACAATAGATATTATTGGCTATTTTTTATAACTGGTTATTTTTAAAATATTGAATTATTAGTTATATATTAACAATGTTAAGAATATTTCTTATAATTTTAGATTGTTAATTGTTTAAATACCACTGATTTTGTATACGATTTTCTGAATGAAAAAATCATTGCCTTCTTTTAGACATCTTAACATATTTTAAATTTTTTTAAGCCCCCGAAATATTTTCCGGATCCGCCCCTGCATAATTTTCATCCATCCATCCGGAAATACATCCATCGAATGACTAGCAGACGAATCAGTAAGCATACGGGTGCAACTTATACATTTTGCATATATTCTGAGTATATAGACACTCTGCTTTCTATTAGCTTGACTTGTTTGTGTTTTCCCGACTTTGAAAATAAATATTTACCATGTTTTCATATAGTGGCCCAAACAATAGGTGGCTCGGTTTTGTAAATTGCAGCACAGGGCAACATTTTAAAACTAAAAAGAATTAACTTAAAATATTTTATTTCACAATTTTATTGAATAATAATTGTCAATATTAAAATATGCCTAAAATATAAATTTATTTATTTGTATATTTGACTGGAATTTGTTTAATTTATTAAATTCATATTCATGCAACTACCGAATCAAAAAAATAATTAAATTAACAATCTAAAACTTGTGAATGAGAAACCTAAGGCTTAAGGTCTACTTTAAA